TACATGTAGAAATTAAATATAAACAGTTTGTGCGTCATAGGTTGGAGTTTAAACCAGACTTAGTCAGTGTGAGGTACTATGTGCTGTGGCGTTGTGGAGTCTGATGGCTGATGATACATACGAGCCTCCAAACGGCTGAACCCCCACCCACACACACACACACACCTCTCCTGTGCTGGTCTGTTGCAGCTTCCCCTCTATCTTGTTCCTGTAACAGTCTTTGGCCCTTCTCAACTCCCTCTGAATGTCTTTCTTGGCATCCTCATCTCCTGCCATTAAAGCCATCTTCTTTCTGTTCAACAGGACTTTGATGTTCCCTGTTGATCCAGGGTTTGTTGTTGGGGAAACAGCAAATCCTCTTGGTGGGGATAACGTTCACAGAACCTGATGTAGTCCGTGACACACTGGGTGAAACCCTCAATGTCGTCTCCGTAGTCTTCCTGGAACACTTCCCAGTCGGTTGTCCTGTAACACTCCATCAAGGCCTCCTCTGCCTCCACCGACCACTGCTGCACAGTCCTGGTGGTGATGGGCTGTCTCCTCCTAACAGCAGGCCTGTAAGTAGGATTGAGATGTATCAGGCAGTGGTCAGATTTGTCGAGAGGGGGGAGGGCGGCCTCCTTTGCATTGGCATACAGCAGATCCAAGGTCTTTTCCCCTTTAGTGTTACAGGTGATGTACTGGGTAAAGTTTGTCAGGGTCTTTGAGATTTTGGCATGGTTAAAATCTCTGTTTATTATGATGAATGCGCTGGGATGAAGTGTCTGCAGGTCTGCTACGGTGGAGTAGATGACGTCACAGGCGTGTGCCTAACCCGATGGCCAGCAGTTCAATGTCAGGCGTGCAGAGTTCTGCCTTCTTAAAAACATGTCCAGGGTTAAACCATTTAGAGTTCACAAAGACAGCAAGCCCTCCTCCCGACTTTTTAGAAAGTAAGATTTAAGGCGAATAATAAGAGGGGGAGCGGGAGCTGTTGCGTCGAGCTGCCACGCTCTGCTGCGCTCTAGAATCTAGGATAGATTACTATTATTATTATTATAATAGGGTACTATGAGCTCTTTAAGATATGAAGGGGCCTGACCATGAAGAGCTTTGTAGGTGAGGAGGAGGATTTTAAATTCTATTCTACATTTTACAGGGAGCCAGTGCAGAGAAGCTAGTACAGGAGAGATGTGATCTCTTTTTCTAGTTCCTGTCAGTACTCGTGCTGCAGCGTTCTGAATTAATTGGAGCGTCTTAATGGACTTATTGGGGCAGCATGATAATAAAGAGTTGCAGTAATCCAGCCTAGAAGTAACAAATGCATGGATTAGTTTTTCTGCATCTGTCTGTGACAGACTGTCTATTTTTTGTAATATTATGTAAATGAAAGAAGGCAGTCGTAGAGGTCTGCTTCATGTGGGAGTTAAAAGACAAATCCTGGTCAAAGATAACTCCAAGATTCCTGACAGTGGTGATGGGGGGATGACAGTCCCCAGGTCTGGGCAGTATCCTTCCCCTGTCTTCTTGGGAGTTGGCAAGAGAGGGAGCTGTGTGGTGATTGGTGGAGGGGGGTGAGGGCAGATGAGGGGGGTGGTGTTGCTGTCGTCTGGGTAAAGAAGGGGGAGATGGGCTGTGGAGGAGGAGGGTGGGTTAGCCAAGGTGTGAATGGGGTTACCTGAGGAGGTTTGTGTGTCAAACCTGTTGAAAAACAGGTTTAGCTTGTTGGCACGTCCCTTTGTCCCCTCCACTGAACCTACTGGCCTTTTATGCCGGTAATGCTCCTCACCCCCCCTTTTAAGCATGACAAATAAATAAAATATTATGAAACAGGGTCAGTTACACAATTATGTAACTCCTGTTGGAGACCAACCAATGTTAACAATCCATGAACTTTATTAAACACACACACACACACACACACACACACACATTTGGATCTCAGTCCAAATGAATGGTGATGGGAGAGTCGTCATGTTTTTGAACAATTGTTTTATTCAACATTTGTTATTAAAAAGACAATAATTTAACTTTCATTGAAGCAGTTAGAATTTCTTACCTTGACAACTCTGAGACAAGATGTAGCTCATATTATTTTTTAATAACAGAGCTTAACAGGTAACAGTAACAGGAAGCTGTGATTCCATCCTGTATTGATATCTGCCACAATCAATTGAAAGTAATATTTTAAAGGACATCAAAGAATCATATTTACCATTTTGTGGCAAAAGCTGATTAAATTGCAGCTGTATTTTATTGTGTCAAATTAGCTTTGAAGCACAGTGCATTGCAGGGGTCTTTTTTTTAAATTTAGGCCTAATTAACCTATTACTGTTTAATTTTTTCACTTTCTTACAAATTAATGTTTTTTAGCAGCATTATCAGTGTGAACAGACTCCTAAAAATCATGGTAAATCCATAATGACACCAAGATAATTCTAGAAAGTGCTCCTAGACCTCCACCGAGGAGGCAGTCCACTGAGTGGATGTGGACCGCTGATGCCAGTTGAAGACCCCTGATGCACTGTAGCATTTCAAATAGTTTTGATTATCAGAATGTGGACCACTTTCCTACAAAACATAAAAGCTTCATGGGAATGAATTTTCAAGCATGCTTGCTGATGACACACTGAGTCATGGAGGTAGAGTCTACAGCCTTCAACAGGGCCGTATAGGACAGTAATGATACAGACGCACAGAATCCAGCGAGGATGCATCTAGATGCACCGGACCATTGAGTGGGTGACAAAACTGTGAGTTTGGGTAATGCTTGGTTTTCAGCTGGTCAACAACTTTTACCATTAAACAGTTTATTAAAATATGTTTTGGGAAACATTTTAAGCAAAAAATATGCAATTTAGTGACAGAATCTTGACTCATATTTGATCAGCATTACCAAGTTTAACAGTCTAATCACTGGACAGACTTCAGTTGCATGAAGTTGAAGTCAAGTGTTGCAAATTGCAAATTCAGATACGGCAAACAGTCAGTCAGCTCGCTGTGGTGTATCCATCACGCATTGCATGGCCTGATCTCCTGTTCTCCATAGAAAATGAATACGATCAGTTCCAGTGTGTCTGTTACCGTTATATGTGAAGAGGGGAGTGGGCTCTGCAAACTGTCCAAAACAAAAACAAATAGGAGACTTGACTTTAGTGCTTAAAAATTTGTCTGTGGGCATGTATTAACTGAAGTGTCAATAATAAGCCACCAATAGCTATAGTGCCACCTCTACTCCACCCCTTATGTATCTAAAGTCATGTATAGCAACAGATAGTAAGAGATCAATAAAAGGTTGAACAGTATTTGATTTAATGAAAGGATTTTAAAGCACACTGAAACAGACAAATTAAAAAGACAAGGATCAACTTAAGGTCATTGTCCCAACACTTGGCACAATAGTGTGATTATTTTTGAAAATGAATAGGGTAAAATTTGCTGAGGCAGCTTGTCTGCTCTCCTATTAAAAAAGATAATAGTGGACTGTTGGCAGGTTACTGAGTGACAAAGCGGCGCTGGCCATGGCCTACATATTTCTGTTTGTTTAATAAACGATAAGATCTCTCGTTTCCGGCATTAAAGTAGGGCACCTCACCACCACAGGGAGGGAAAAAAGAAAATAAGCATGAAAAAAGGCTTTGTTTGAGGTTAATTGGTGTCCACAGTAAAGGAGAGAGAAAACACAGAATAAGAGTGAATGACTATGTTTACATGCACACTGATTATTCCGAATAAGACAGTATTCCCCATTTGAAATGGGCATTGACAGTACATATAGTGGAGAGACCTAAGAAGTGAAGCCAATGTGGAAGTGTCTTAAACCTGCAATTCTTTCTAATGGCCAGCAGGGGGTAGCTCCATTGGGTGCAAAAAAAAAGAAGTCTGACAGTAATGAGCCTTATGCAGAAATGACCCTACTTCTCACTTGATTTATTAGCTCAGTGAACAGTTTGCTATTGAGTTTATCGATCTCTAATTTCAAGTCTTCTTGAAATACAGCATGAGGTTCATTTAGTAAATTATGGTCCAATTTAGAGTAGAATAGACCATAAAGCAGGGTATGCTATAGCCCTGCAAAAATCCAACATGGCAACAACCTTAAAGGGGAACTTCGGCAGATTTTTACCCTAGTCTTGATCACTAGAGGTCACCGAGTACTGTCGATAGGAAAAACAACGACCAGAATTGGTTCTAGCAAACTGGAGATCCTGCAGCTAATGGCCAGAGCTCCCAGTTAGTTATAATACACTTCTTGGGGGCATATCCTAAAGAGTGCCTTTAGCTCCTCTTAACAGACACAAAATGCAATTAAAATGTCTGTGCAACATGATCAGGGCCCTTACGTGACAACAACATGCCTTTTCAACTCATACGTTGTGCAGAAACCGTACAAAACAGTACTGTCGCCTACCTGTTTTTCCACCGCTCGCTTCACCGAAAGCCCAGAATAATCGATCACTTCCTGCAACAATTTCTTCTTCTGCGTTTACCTGCAACAAGTTGTTACAAGTGCCTACACTTTCATCGTCTACCTTTCCATGACCATGAGATACTGCAGTTGTGGCTAGTTGTTCTTCAGCTGGATGTGCAAACTCCCATACAAGTACTATGCGAAAATGATCACTGCAAATAAAGCAATCAATGTGCAACTAATATGCATGATAATAAGCAACTAGTTAATAGAGAATTACTGACAGTTCTCCATAAAGACATGAATACTGTTCAGGCAGAGCACTAAAGCACAATCGCTGGCTCATTCACCAGCCCTGACTGAACTACCTTAAAGAAGTGTTACTGATGAATCCCATATCTACTCAACTCATCTCTCACAGTCATTTCTCTTCTGGTTCTTATTCAGACATATCAATTACAAAAGAAATCTGCTGTGTGTTCATGTTCATCTGGTGCCATGCAACTACTTAATAACAGCAGAGGACTGTTCTGTGCAGTGTCAATGTCAGGATGTGCATGAATGTGAAGCAAAGTGTACCTTTAAAAAAAAAACGTGCACAGTCAGGAAATCTTTTTCTAGAGAGAGGGGACCCCTCGCCAGCCTTTTACTGTACAGTAAATACTTGTTGAAACACTGCAGTACATACAGTATATTATGTAAGACTTGGGCAACAGAGAAGCATCATTTCAAAAATGGGTCCTTTAACATGAGTTCACCAACTGTTGCAACTCAGGTTAAAACACAACAGAGCAAAGTTTACCAACATTGACCGATACTGATAAAACTGAAGGTTTACAGCTGTTAAATAATAAAAAAAAAACATTAGAAATACATGACTTTTCTCTACTGTGAAAATAATTACATCTCAACAAGTCCTTGGAATCCATTTAAAATATTTTCAAACAGATTTTTGACAAGGTCTTTACGCTGCCATCCCACTGTATAACCTGACACAGTTTGGTCCCATTCACATACAACAGACCTGGGTTAGATTAACATATCAAAAAAACTACTTCTCTGACATCACATTATCCCATTTTGCCCAAGCAGTTGCAGTTCCTTCTACAACATTTCCCACTTCCCAGCCTTGCATTCAGCGCAAGGACACTGACATTTTTTCCAGTCAGCAGCTGGTATTTTTAAAATGTCCTACGTGATGTGAATGTGGCACGACGTCCTTCTCAAGCTGACAGGAGCAGAGCTGCTTCTGGCTCCTGCTGTTGCTCTGGACTTGTCATTAAATGATAGAAAGGATCCATTGTTGTATAAGGGGCTTTTTCAGACCCTATAGACACTTAGCGAGACTGGGTGAATGAGTGACCCAGATCAGACTGATGCGTTTGGACAGTGCAACCATACAAGCTGCTTGGCTGTTGCTTGGTAACTTCTGGGTTTTTTGGACTTTAGACATCTTGCCATGGCGACCTGATATAAGAGAGTGCTGAGTGTTTAAAACCAGCACTGCTCAGTTTCAGACAGGAGGCAGCAGCGGCATGAAAGGCAAAAAAGTTGTGGTGCTTAAATCACTATATATACTTCTGAAACCCTTTCTTTTAATTACTTAGCAACAATCACTGAACATCTCTCTAAAATAATCAGTCTATTTAACTACATGTTACTAACAAAACAGGACATTCAGAAGATGTTTTTTTTCTCCACCCTGCTTCATCTTCTGTACTCGACGAACAGTCATCATCTATCAGCTTCTATAGCTGCAGGTTATCTCTCAGCCCAATGGCAGCCATCATACAACATAAACAACATAAGAGAAGTGAAACAATTGCCAAACTGTCGATCAACAGCTCTAGTTCAACATTTAAAACAAAATGAAAACAGTTGTGCTGCAGCCTTTGGTTCAGTAAAACAGGCGGCAATGTCAATAAACAAGAACAAAACTTCACAAGACAATCTATATCTCATGATACACAATAGCATTCTTCTCCCAGCAAAGCTTTAAATCCTGACAGTGTGCTGCAAACAAAGCAAAATGATTAAAACCCTATGCCTTCATAAAAATATATTTCAAAAGCCGCCAAAGCGGTGACACAAAACAGTAAATATAAAAAAATCATACATCTCGAAACTTGAGTGTCCTCTCGAAACCTTATATTCTAACTTATATACTTTTTACTGCCTTTTACCTTCAATTTGTACTTGTGCTGTATCTTACTGCTGTGTCATAAAAAAATTCCTATATTCTTTACCTTAAATTTCACATATTGAATACTTAAGGATGAATTATAGGCTAGCTTATTGAATGATTTCTGAATTCACAATGTAGTTGTCCTGATATAAATTACTGTTACATTTGTAACCTGAAAATAGTGATTTTATTGCAGCCCGTAAACACTACATTTTAACCAGCAGCGCAACTAACAATTATGGTGATTATGAATTAATCAATCATTTTCTCAATTAATTGATTCATTGTTTGCGCCATAAAATGTCAGAAAATTATGAAAAATGTTCATCACTGTTTCCGAAAGCCCAAGTTGACGTTCTCAATTGTCTTGTTTTGTCCACAACCGGAAGACATTCAGTTCACTGACATAGTGGACTAAAGAAACCAGAAAATATTCACATTTGAGAAGCTAAAATTAGAGAATTTGAACATTTCTTCTTAAGAAAATGACTCAACGATTAATTGATAATTAAACAGTTGACAACTAATCGATTAATCAACTAATCGTTGCAGCTGTTCCCAAGCTACTTCACTGCGCTGATTAAATCCTTATTTCATAATCATAACGTCATCTGATAAAATCAATATAAATCCAGGTTAGTGACAACAGGTCTGCTGTGTGTTCGGCTATTCTTACATTGAAAATTAACAATCACAGAGAGTGTTCGAGGTGTCATCTTTAATTAAATTTTTACTGTAAACTCAAAAAATTGTTGAAACTGATTAAATAAAATTGAAGTGAAACTAACTAAATTTTGTAAGTTAAAAAAACACTATTGATCAAGTAACATTAGTAATTTTAAGTGACACACTGACATAATTTTGTCATTTTTATTTGTTATTTAAAAAGGAATGTTTCTGTAACTAGGTTAGTGTCACTTAAAATGACTAAAATCTGCTTAATCAAGAATCCTTTTTAACGTTAAAAATTGATGTTGTGTTACTTAAAATGTTCTATGTAATTAGTTTCAAAATGTTTTTTTGTTAAAATAACTAAAATTGCATTACAGTGTTAAACGCCTTGTTTACCCTGTATGCACTGACACACCAAGCTGGTGTTAATTTATTAATTGATTTATACGTTCTCGAGGGCAGAGAAGCTCTGTTTTGGTGGTGAACAATTGTGTTTAGTCTGGATGAAGAGCTGAAACTGAGAGAAACAATTGTGTTTACAGATTTAACTGGCTTAATGCAGATGTAGACTAATGGTGGTTTACTCTGGACCATAAAGTAGAGCATCACAGAAGTAAATACTTGGTAATCTGCTTAAAAATGTAACATTGGTCATTATAATACTATCTATAATTACCTGAGCAAATCAGTGACCTATAATTACAATTTCTGAGAAGTTTTAGTGATACAAGGTTTCTAGAGAACACATATTATTGATATGTTTTCAATGATAAGGGACCAGAAATATTTAACATTTAATTTATGAAACTGTAATGGTTTGACCAGTAAAGTCTGTGGAAGGCTCACACTGATGTTTTCAAATTTCTATTTTGTGACATCTACTGACATAAAAAAACAGAATTTCTTCATTTAGTTTCCTTCAATCAGGGACGTCTTATAATAACAGTTCATGTGCAAATAAAATGATTTCTAGTATTTCCCTATAGCTGTTTCAGGGGGAAGTTCCCGTCTTATTCAACATTGGCAAACGGATGAGGACGACCCAAGTCTAGCAATACCAACTGCATTACAGTCCATGATAATAGAAAAAAAAAAAGACATTAGAACTCGCTTGCTGAGAAACCTGTTCACTCTACAGTCTGATCCATGACCAAAGAGATAAGTAAGGTGCACTGTGGTAGTTGAGGTGGACAGATAGCTAGCGCCGCTAATAGTCTGTACGGGCTGGTCACTCAAGGCCAAAGCCCTCAGCGTTGGAGATGGCGATGGTGAGTTTGTGTTTAAGCTCCTTCCTGGTTCGGTACGGAGGCAGACAGATCTGATTAAAACAAGTGTGAGAGATTGGCAGCCTGCAGAGACAGAGAGTGAAAGACAGAGATGGACAGGAAAAATAGTTACTTGTATACACTTCCTGTAAAGTTTTCTGTGTCTAAGTACATTGAGAGCAACTTAAAGCTGCTCCTAGTGCTCTTAATGGCATTTGCAAGAATCCACCAGGCCTGAACAAAAAGGAACAATCAGAGACAGAAAGACGCTTTGGGTTGGTCTCTTTAAGATAGTTGATTGTTGAGTCTTCCCAGCATCAATATTTGACACCCTGAGAATGAGACTTAACAATCAACTATCTTTCTTGGCTCTGACTTGTTGTTTTCATTCAGACCCCAGCTTTAAAGGTTCAGTGTGTAACACTGAGGAGGATCTATTGTCAGAAATGGAATATAATATTCATAAGTATGTTTTCATTAGTGTATAATCACCTGAATATAAAAATCATTAAGTTTTTGTTTCCCTAGAATGAGCCGTTTTTATCTACAGAAGGCCTTCTGTTGAGGCTGCACTGTTGAAAACTAGCCCTGAAGGAACAACCCAAAAACTGGCTCTACAAAGGGCCTTTTTATGCTTTTTGCGTGTTTTATGGCCACCACAGTTTCTCCCTCACGCTTGGAAAGGGAGGATGAAGTAAGTGTGTTGGAATCTGCAACTACACCGCTAGGTGTAAATAAACTCTACACACTGGTCCTTTAAATAAACATAAATAAAACATAAAATTCCATGTACTTATTCACCACTAAAGTTACATCTGATCCTGAAAACATGTTCAAAATAACACCTTTGCATATTAAGTCAAACATATTTCTTACAGCCAGTTTCCTTAAAATGTGGAGAAACCGGTAAATCCTTAACTGATCTCGCACATACAAATCACTGAAACTATCTGACCAACAGTGTGTGTCTGTGTGTAAAAGATCAGCAGTGGGGCAGCTAGTCCATTCTCTGACCTAGATTCAAGGTTTCTATAAGTTTAAAGTTCAACAGTTCAACAACTTATCTCCTGCAGCTCAGTTCACACCCAGAACACAAGAGAGAGAGCATTACACTGTTAATACTTCACCAGCAATATCTACATTTTAGTTTAAACACTCCAGATAGTCAAATCAGAAAGTGAGGAGACAGTTAGTTGAGTCAGTGAAGGTGGTTGTGGTGGTGTCATGACTTTTTGTCACAATTTTCTGTCTGTACATTTTGTCTGTACATTTTGTCTGTACATTTTGTGTGCGTGTCAGATATTAAAAAGGCCAAGCTTCTCTCTCTCATTGTGTTGGTTCAGTGTAGCAAAGTCTATGTTTGGTTCTGGGAGAATTTGCAGCAAGTGCACATGTTCAATGTCTCTCAGGATCACTGTGTCGACAAGTTGTCAATGACCGAGTTCTGGTCTCAGTCTGATCCGTTTTTGGAACCTACCAGTCAGTTGGAACATCGATCTTAGAGATTTTGAAGTTTAGGTCGGCCATTCCTCCGACAGGAACGCGGTCACTTCCTGTGGCGAAGTGGAGGAGCTTCTTCTGCAGCTCCAGAGGGAAGGCCAGCACCACGTCCCAGAAGCACCTGGTGCAACACAAAAATGGACTCAAGCATGAATGAGACAGATACGTTTTAGTCTACTGTCCACAGCACTGCTGTGCTGTTATGTCTACTATTACTTAAAACTGAAAATTATATGTTGCCTAGAACCAGTAAGGCATCGCTACATAAAAGGCCTCAGTGAGACCAGGACGAGAGCTGGAATTTCATTTCCAAACAATGTGCCTTTTGAAAGCATTAGATAAATAATGGATACATTTGAAGTTTGCACTGTGACCAAGGACAATGAAAGCTTTCCACAACTGGGATGTTTGTATGCAATACTTTCTAAAATGATAGGCTGAGAAATAAACAGGCGACAGGCAGACAGACAGACAGTATTGAGGTTGTGTAACAGGCCTGCAGCTGCTTGTTGTCAGCTGTCAGCACCGTGCTGAGTTACATTATCTGTGGCTGACAAGTGTTGGCTCGTTTTCCTTCCCTACTGCTGGAAACAAAAGGACTGAAGGACATCTCTATGTGTGTCTGTGTGTGTGTGTGTGTGTGTGTGTGTGTGTGTGTGTGTGGAGAGAGAGAGAGAGAGAGAGAGAGAGAGAGAGAGAGAGAGAGAGAGTTACTTCCTGGTACAGAATTAATGTCTTGCCTGCTTGCAGTTTAAACACACTGGGAATCATTAGTTAATCATCAGTGAATTTCACTTGAACTGAAAAAACAAATTGTGGTTGGGCTGAGAGGAACCAAATGGGCCACAGTTCTATTTCCCAGTCACAGGCAGTAATGTATGACAGGAGAGTATCACTGACATTTTGATGAGCATACATTGATTAAAATGAATTCATAATAAGCAGACTTTCCTCACCTGACTTCCACCACGCAGTGGGATCACTGTTAATAAAAACATCAAATAAAAAGAAAAAAAAATGTGTTCCTAAAAAAGGAAATCCGCTGCGGTTTGACTCGCTGCACAAACAGTGAGTGTGCATTATCTATAGACTTCCTGCATAGCATTGGAAGTCAGCGTCAGTAAACAGGAAGTGCAGGCGTCTTACCGTACGGTGGTGTCTGTCTTGCTGTATCCTTCATACTGAGCAGCTTTCTGCAGAGCGCTCATGTCGAGCTCTGGACTCCCGCATACCAACATCTCCACCTCCTCCGGCCGCAGCAGCTGCACAAAGCAAGAGCACAGGATGATATACAGGATGTGTAATGAAGATAAAGTGCACAATTCAACATGGAATCTTAAAAAATTAATTTTGAGATTTTATTTTGACTTCTTTAAAATGTGCATCAACAGCAAACATCTCACAAGCCTTTAAAATACCATCAAGGACAAAAGAACTGGACAAAAAAAAAAACCTCCCCTGTATTTTTTACATCTTATGAACAACTAAAGTGTTCACACATTTATTCATATCTAACGTAACAATAATGACTACCTCATGTACATGTAGTTGCCACGGCTGTGCATGTATATGCAGTGGTCCTTCAAACTCGCTACATTTTTGTGTTATTGTGTGGTCCCAGTCAACATGGGTGTGAAATCTGGAATCGGCCAATTCATTCTTAAATTATGGCTAAAAACCTATTTTGAGGTCACGATAACCTTTGACCTTTAAGTCAAAAGTGTCACCAGTTCAGAGCCCAGCAAACGGTGAAATAAAGTCACAATCTCCACTTCTGTTCCTGAGTTATGGTGTTGAAAAATGAACATTTCCAGAATATTATGACATCACAGTGAAGTTGACCTTAGACCTTTTGAGTAAAAAATGTCACCACTTCATCATTCTATCCCTTAAAAATCTGTGTGACATTTTGTCATAATTGCGAAATCAATTCTCAAGTTAGGACCAAAAGATGTGTCATGGACATTTTGAGGTTACAGTGACCTTTATAGACTACTAAAACCACGAACCATCATATCAATACACTGATATAATTACTATCAGTAATACTGCATTACGTACATGCATAATTTCCTGTAAATCCCTCATGCACAGGAGGCAATCGGAACCCAGTATGGGAATGGCGGACTCTGCCTCTGACAGTGAAAACTACTCAATCCAGTGTGGGATTTAGTGCTGTCTAGCTGTGTAGCTGCAGATTGCAACTTCCTCGTTTCACCCTCCCCTTTAAAGTACACAAAAAACATGAACGTCTCTATCTAGAGTCAGTGTTTGGTTTGTCCCTTCTGGGCTACAGTACATGGCGGTTCAACAACAAGGCTCATTTAAGGTAACAAAAATACTATTCTTATATTCGGGTAATTATACACAAATATCTGCCAATATATCCTCCTGAATGTTGGACCTTTAATTACAGAATTGAAATACATTCAATAGCTATAGCTGAAAAACTGCCGACCGTAATCAAAGGATTTAAACGTCTGACCTTGGCAGTGTCAGTGCTCAACCCACTGAGCTACAGGAAACCATGAGGAAGCATTTCATGAAAACAGCTCTGTAGGTGCAACATCAGCCTTTCGGTAGAATTTCCACTAAAATACAACAGCGTTTGAACACAACAATCACTTCCAGTACAACACAACCAGTAAATCGAGAGGAGAAACAGGAAGTTCTACGTCACCAGACCAGCTGGTTACAAAAAATGTGAAATATGTCAACTTCAAGGGGGTTTCTTGTGTGAAAGTGAAAGTTTCTTATTTACAACCACACAAAAGTGGACTTACTTATTGAGCAAGTCTGCACACTGGCTGAATTTGTGTTTGGATTGGAGAAGTTTAAAAAATAAATAATAGTCAAATACTCAATCATTTAAAATTATTTGAACAGCATACACTCAGTAGTTTAAATACTGTAACATTAAAGGCCCCAGTAACGACGCCCCCTCATGATGAGTTTTATCTTGACTCTGACCCTGTGATCTAATAGCCTAAAACTCCCAACACTCTGTCCAAATCACACAGACTGACAAACACACCAACACCAAACCACCCACACACACACACACACACACACACACACAGTTAACCACAGGCCTGCCTCATCACTACCTGATACGTCAGACAATGTGGACGTGACTGAAGGATTTAAACAGTTTTTTTGGAGCAGGTTGGTTTTGTATGAAACTGGTCATGTAGCTGTTACAGTTGTCTTTGACTGAATAAGTTGATGAAATATTTTTACTTGCTCTGCCCTCAGCTTTCACCATTTTTTAAAGCACCATGCTTACTTAATCACTACCAAGGTTGTAACAAATTAAGGACTTTGATGTAGGCAAGTGTAAGTGTAAAAGTGTAGAAGAAAGGTTACAAAAGAGGCTTTAGATTTAAAATCTTAACACTACTGCATTCATGAGGATGGCGGTGTCCATCTGAATGTTCTGCACTTTGGCCCAGAGCAAGATATCTTACTTACTTATAACTACTGTCTCGCCAAACTACGTTTTTAGTTTTATCCAGAGACTGATTCCTGATGATTATGGTGACTTCCTGACCTTTCATCTAGTACCACCATCAAGAAAAGGTTTCCACTTGCAAAGATCAAATAAATCCACAGGTCATCCTGGAATTTACATTCATGCTCCCATGGCAAAGGCATGCTCCATAGACCATGTGCTTTTCTCTAGCACCACCCATATGCTATGATATGATGGAGATATGCATTATCTATATATGTATAGGTTATATATATATGTGATATTTAAAACATTAACATGGCAAGAAATAACTATTAGCTATGTAAAGATATAGTGGAGTCATGGTGTCACACTCCCTCTGCCTGTGTTGCTATCGCAGCCTCTCTGTGGTTTATTTCAAAAGCTGGTCTGGCCGAAACTGCTGTTTTTCTCCTCTTCGTTGATTATTAAAGATTTATTTCAACCAAACCAGAGTTGGTGATTGTTAGAAGAGTGGAAACAACTCAACTAACAAAGACTGTTTTGGTGAGTTTTATTTTGTTTCTGTCCACTTTGAATGTAGTTACAATGAGGTAAAACAGACTGTTTTGTCTATGGAGTCTGGTGGTGAGGGATAGCAATATTATATTTGTTTTTAGTTAAACCAAAGGTCTATCTGTAGGGATCCTTTTGATAATGTTGTCAGACACTTAGAATAACAGTCTGAGACGATGAGTTTTATTTTGCTTCAGTCCAGTTGGAGTTTTACCAGTCTGTTTTACGCTTTATTTGCCAGGTGAAATCACTGGTTTGGTCAATCGAGTCTGCCTGGCAAACAAGGACAGGATTGGCCTGCCCCTTCTCTGACCCAGATTCAGGCGCTCGGCTGATAAACAGCGGTCAAACTGTCCATCTGTCCGTCTTATATACAGTCCGTCACACAGCGTTACTTCAGTGCGTTCACTCTGAGAAGATCTGAGGTGTGACTCACAACAAAACAATTCAATGAGAACGTGCTCACAGTCATACACAGCTCACTGTGAACTTGACTGTTGTGACCCCTGGCCTTAAACCAAAAACTGTGAAGGCTAGGAAACAAAGGGTCAGAGGTCATTTCATTCTAAGAGCACTTCCATGTGCTACTGTTGTAATACTAGCCAACAATGTCAGAGAAACCTTTTAGAAATTACACTGTGTCCACTTGTTGCACCTGTTACTTGTTGTTTTTTGGCATTAATGTTAATCCATAGTTGTTATTATTTAACTTGAATATAGATGATTTATTCATTTTTTCAAGGCACTAGAAAACAAAAGGCAATGAAAAGATATAAGAAAAATAAATTAATATATTTATATAATGAATATATTTCATATATTATTATTAATATGTATACTTATTGCTATTTATTTTATTTATAAAGACTTTAAACAGCATAAAATAAAACAAAAAACAGGCAAAAGAACATGCAAACTGTTTGTGAAGCTGGGCCAATGATATTTCAGAATTGTTTATTGCCAAGTAGGTTTTTACGCCTACAAGGAATGTGTCCTGGTGCATTGGTGCATAAAATATACAAATATACAAATCACACAAAAATCACACAGAAAAATGAAGTACTTTTAAAATATAAATACGCAAAGAAAGAAAGAAAACTGTGCAGAAGAGGGGAGTGCATTAATGTAATGCATATATATAGGGTGGGTATAAGAGTCAGTGTCAAAGGGGGATCCAGGCCTTATGGATTTCTCTACTGTGTATATTTGGGTCCCTTAGGGGCCTTTGACCTTCCTCAGGGTCCCCAGAGTTCAACAAACAATAACATGATCAGATTAGAGTCAGCAGTTGTTTATCAGGGAGAACTAACATTTGATTAAGGAGGAAGGCAAACAGAATCCACTGCCTGAGCTCCATTTTTGGGCAACTGTCTTTGTCCAAGGAGAAAAAAAGAGTCTACAGTGTGCAAATGTGTTTTCAATTCAATTCAATTCAATTTTATTTGTATAGCGCCAATTCATAACAGAAGTTATCTCAGGACACTTTTCAAATAGAGCAGTTCTAGACCGAACTCTTTATAACATTATTTACAGAGACCCAACAGTACCACCATGAGCAAGCGCTCGGCGACAAGGGCAAGGAAAAACTGCCTGTTCTCTTTTAACTGTAAAACAGTGAAAGTTAAATTTTCCTTCCGCTGTTGCTGCACAGGAAGTAATAAATTCTACATTACTGGCATGTTTGAAATGTTGTTCCAGGAAAATTTACATTCACAATTTATCTTGAAACAAGTCTGAGTGAGGCCTCTGCTGTTAGAACTAGTGTTTTGGTTCAGAGCAAAGAGAGAGTCAGTTGATTTTGAGCTCTACCATCTTTTACAGAAACATTTTGAGCATCAGTCAGCTGAGTCATATAGAAGTTGCAATGACGTCTGTTCATCTGCAAATTTATCAAGTATTCAGAACTAAAAATGACTACATCACAAATTCAATATGCTTACTGACAGGAAGCAAGACAGTTACTTTAGAAAGGGTTGATAAAATTAAGAATCTACACTGTAAATCCTAACAACATATAATAAAAGAAGTATGTTTAATCCTCCAAAAAATGTTGAGTCACATGAATTAAACCCAACTTAATAATGAATTGTTGAAGCAGCTCATTTGTGCAAATGGTCTTCCAGTGTAGTATAAAAAAGATATCAAATATAAGGCACAACAATTAAATAATAAATACTTTAAAACAGTACACACCAGAGACATAAGATGTACAGTATGTATGTACATGTAAGGACCAGTGTGTAGGATGTAGCGGCATCAAGCGGCGAAGTCGCATAATGCAACCAACTGAATACCGCCCACCTTGCATGTATTCACTTTCTCTTGACATTGCTGTCTGACACTGTGACCTAATAGCCAAAACGTCCCAACACTCTGTCCCAATCACACAGACTGACAAACACACCAACACCAAACCACCCACACACACACACAGTTAACCACAGGCCTGCCTCATCACATCCTGATACGTCAGACAATGTGGACGTGACTGAAGGACTTAAACAGTTTTTTTGTTTTGGAGCAGGTTGGTTTTGTATGAAACTGGTCATGTAGCTGTTACAGTTGTCTTTGACTGAATAAGTTGATGAAATATTTTTACTTGCTCTGCCCTCAGCTATCACCATTTTAAGTGTGCAGAAGAAACTACGGTGGCCGCAAAAAAATAACAAATAATGCCAGTGTTTGGTTTTTCCATCCTGGGTCATACTCGTATGACTGACTAATGAAAAGTTTGCATGTAATGTTTGTGCAACGAACAAGCACGTCTCTATTATTTCATTAACCCTCAAAAAGCACATATACACACTGTGGACTCACCATGAGTGCATCCGAGGCACACACACTGTGGAAGCCATGGTAAAAGGCAGCAAACTGTTTATAAATGGATTTATTTAGCAGGAAGTCGATGTAGAGCTGGACATACTCTGTGGAGAGAGAGGGAACAGAACAGCGTGATTTTCAATATTCCATTACAGACCTTTACCCATTTACCCTCCAGCCTTGGTCCTCCCAGGAGCACTGGCAGAGAGCTGGACCTGGACTGCTGCTAGATGGAAAATTAGGTTTAATAAGAGGAAAGTTAAGTTAAAGTTTCTTTTCTCTGCTCGACCTCATCCTCTTAAAAAGAATAAAGAAGATTTCGAGCTGAGCCAGGCTTCGTGTTGCTGCTCGCAAGAAGTTGAATAGCACAGGAGGAGGATTTAAACAGCACAGTTTTCTTTAAAGTGCAGTGTTAAAGGACCACCTTGATTATATTTACACCATCTGTACCCATCGCACGTTGCACCAATGTGGTTAAATTCAGTAAAGAAATCATGGGTGTTAAGTTATTGTTTCAGTGTCAATAGGACATTATCTGAGCCCCAAGGTAGAAAACAAGGAAAAACAGGGAGGCTGCCACTGGGGATGGGGAACATGTCCCGTATTCTTGCTCTATTTTAGCAAATGTTTTCCTTTGTCACTGGTTTTAGGGGTCGCCAAAACTTCATGGAGGGTCATGAGGCCTTCTTGAACTAAGAATACAATAGAATAGAATACATTTTTTTGTCCTGAGAGGAAATTTGTCTAGGGCACAATGCTACAATCTGTTGCTTTACAGAAACAACCAAACATGCATCAAAAACCCATCACAAAATCTACATAAAACATCTTAAAACATGAAAGAAACAGTGACAATATGGCAGCTTAAAAAGAGACAATAAAAAACTAAATAAAAAATGAAGTGCTACGGTGCTGGTTTGTTTATTACACATTGCCCTATTGCACTATGGTTTAGTATTAGAGTTCAGCAGCTTTTTAAAGGTGTGTATGATTTAGTGGCATCTAGTGGTATAGTTGCAGGTTGCAACTCTCTCCGTTTACCCTCCCCTTTCAAGTGTGAAGGAGAAACTGCAGTGGCCGCGAAATGCGCAAAAAACATAAAAACGCCCCTATCTAGAGGCAGTGTTGGGTTTGTCCCTTCTGGGCTACTGTAGAAACATAGTGGTTCAACATGTTGGCAAACATGGAAGGCCACACTTTAGATAGAAAAGGCTAATTCTAAGGTAACAAAACATAATGATTCCTATTTTCAGGTGATTACACTAATGAAAACATACCTATGAATATTATATTCCACTGCTGAATATTGATCCTCCTAAATGGTACATACTGGACCTTTAATGGCTGTAAGAAAACTTAGACAGGAGGCCTATATCTCAGCATTTCATTCATTTTGGGAAGAAAACTAAATGAAATTGTTATTTGTAACATTTAGATTATTATTTAAGATATAAATAGGATAAGGGCAAGACACAAGCTATATTTACTGAGCCTTCACGCACTAAAATACTGTGTAGTTTATCAGTTGTTCTGTACTGAATGAAATATCCATAAAATATATCACTTAGTCAGGGGTCACAGGTTTACTTGGTGATAAAAAAGGGTCCCTTAAGGAAAAAGGTTGGGAACCAGTGGGTTATGTGATGAGTCTAGAATAGGTGGATGGCAGTGACCTGCAGAATATGGTATAGGTTGTTATTTGGAGGTAGCCAGAAGCTGTGGGGGTCATTGCTGCCCCGTATTGAATATACAGAACCTCAGTGTCAGAAAGTCCCATTAGGAATTACCAAAGGTTCCATTTACTTGAACTGAGGTGTGTTTTGTTTTCAGTGATATGCCCTTTATTGTATCACCCTGGATTTAAATGTGCTTTTGCTCTGTTACAGTCTGATTAACCAACAGGATGCAGGTTCATGTAGAAGAAATGTGATAACACAGACCTCATATATACCTGCATAAACTTGCACCCTGCTGGTTAACCAGACTGTAATGACCCCCGGTCATTCATTGCTGAAATACACTTTAAAAAACGTATGTGAACTCACCCTTCCTGTTCTGTTTGGTGACAGGGATTCTGTCTCCTCCAGGCTTGAGGTTGTAGGATTTGACCACGCCCATTTCCTCCTGGAACACCTACAACATACAGAAAATATAATGTAACATAGGTGATGCTTTGCCGGGACTTAAAAACCATTCATTACCTCCAAAAATGTGTACAAAAACTGTACAAGGCTACATTTAAAAGGTTCTTTTATCCAAGACACACACACTCACACTGATGGCAGTGAGCTATGACGCAGAGTGCTAAAGCCGGGGATTGAACAACTAATTATAACGAATTATATCAGTGGAAGAAATAGTTCCAGTGTAACAACTTTTCATTTTTACACATCGGTTTTGGTAGCATTCTTAATGTAGGATAAAATGTAGTATTGTAGTATTATTAACAGAGGTACAATATTTAATTTCCGCCACTAGGGGGTCGCTCTCATCAAAACAATAACAAAAGACAAAGTTTGATGAAGTAGCGCAAGGATCATAAGAGTTGCTGTCTTCACCACCATTGCCGTCATTGCAGTCACCTTCTCCCGGTTAGGATTCCTTCAGTGTTCATGGTTCAGGAGGTTTCTACCGGGAGCCCAGTTATCCACAGAGGTCTCCTCCTCTCCAAAACAAACTGATCCGGTAATTAAAACCAGTAAAATCACTGATTTGCTGTTGTCATGTTCATCATCATCAGTCACTACTATTAGTGTAGTTGTTGCTACTGTTGTTGCTGTGCACCTGTCTGTCTGTCTATCTGTCTGTGTCTCTCTCTCTCTCTCTCTCTCTCTCTCTCTCTCTCTCTCTTTCACCCCAACTGGTCGAGACAGACGACCACCCACCTAGAGCCGAAGGATCTGTACGAGGGTTTCTGCCTTTTAACAGGCAGTTTTTCCGTGCCCTTGTCGCCAAGTGCTTGCTCATGGTGGTACTGTTGGGTCTCTGTAAATAATTCGGTCTAGACCTGCTCTATTTGGAAAGTGTCCTGAGATAACTTCTGTTATGAATTGGCGCTATACAAATAAAATTGAATTGAATTGAATTGAATTGAATTGAATTGAATTGAATAAAGCAGTTCCACATATACATATTCCACATAACATACATATACATATAACATGTACAACCATGTCTATAAGGTTAGCAAGCTTGTGACTGGCAGGTCGTTGATTCAATACCTGGACTTACAGGCTAAATCTGGGAGGGGAAAGTGATTATTATTACCACCACTGATGTGCACTTGAGCTAGGCCTTTAACCCCAACCACTCCAGTGGAGCTGCTCAGTGGCAGCAGATCAGACTGACTGTGGTTGTACTGGGAAGATTCCAGGTATGAATGTGTAACTGTGAGAATGTGACCTGTAAAAGAGAGGTTTACTCTCAGTGAACCTTCACTTAATGAAATAAAACTATATAATAAAAAGAGACTACAGCTTCATATTTAGCGCACAAGTCTGATCAATCCTCCCATCTAACTTTTGGCATATTTCGCAAGTGTTATCAGTGAGGAGACTCTGTGTCAACACTTCATATGTAATATAGAAATAAACTTTGGTTAGAATTAAGTTTAGGTTAGGTTATGGTGAGCTGAAAATAGAGGGGTATAAATACAGTAAAAGAGGCACACACTGATGTACAAACATACAGAAACAAACTGAGGCGTGAGGTGAGTGGATCTCTCTTTCTCTGTAGTTTTTATTGCTCTCAGTGTACTGTAGGTCAGCCAGTTCGACTGTCCCACAGTGGTGTGACTGTGAGTAGCCTATAGCTCACAGCTCACACTGTGGGTTAAAATAACACCTCCACTCAGGCTCTTACAAATGTTTCCTCTCACATATGTTCCGGCTGCATATATATCCCCAGCTGCACCATAAAGTATTCCATTATATCTGGTTACTGCGCTCAGTAGCAGAGGGCAGCCCCGTCTGACAAGCATCATAAAACATGCACATGTCATGTAACGTAGAGCTTAAATGATTACGGTGGACCCAAATGATTGAATTATGAAGCAGTCTTTATGACTTGTAATGAAATGTAAACTTTCTGTGTTTAAAGTAAATGTATTTACAATAAAGTGCTACTTAAGTCTGTGGGAAAATACTTCATTGTACAGAGATAATCATCATGTGTATTTAGTTCCAGGAAGTTTTTATTTTCTGATGAGATGAGCAGTTGGAGGGCATTCCTGCACTAAAGTTTACCTGATAATCAGTACAGATATCTAACCAGGAAATTTAACTTTGTTGGGGCACTTATGGCCGTGAATTCAGTCTTCAATTGAAGTGAAGGAATAAAGCCGTCTAACTTTACTAATTAATCATCAGCTGAGGCAGTGCCAGGGTTCGAAATAGACAAAAGAGACATGAGCTCAGAATTTCTTTCTGTACAAATGTATTTTTTATTTTTATTTAGATTAGCTGTTGCAATGTTTTCCATATTCAATTCAATTAAATTTTATTTGTATAGCGCCAATTCATAACAGAAGTTATCTCAGGACACTTTTCAAATAGAGCAGGTCTAGACCGAACTCTTTAAAACATTAATTACAGAGACCCAACAGTACCACCATGAGCAAGCACTTGGCGACAAGGGCAAGGAAAAATTGCCTGTTAAAAGGCAGAAACCTAGGACCATATAAGACCAACATTTTATAATCATTGTCATTGAATGCAGCCTAGGTCTGTTCTGTCTGAATTTGTCTTGTTTTTTCGGCGAGAGCGATTAAAAAAAACATTGTTGTTTCTTTGTTGTCCCAGGCTAAATATTCTCTGAACAAAACAGATTTATTCATCATGTCTTTTTGCAAGTAGGCCGGTGAATTCATGTATGTGCGTGCATGTGAACAGTAGCAAATAATAGGGCTCCCCTGAAATCCACGGTGCAATTTGAACTCTGGACGGTGCTATTTTCAAGCATCCATAACCAGTAGGTCAACCAGTAGGTAATCCTTATCTTCATTCATTACTGTCAAAATAAAACAGTATAATACTGTTTCCATTGAGTTATCAATCATCCAATATCCATAAAAATAAATCCATAAAGGAAAATAATGAGGCTGGGTACCTTTTTTTGTTCACTGTGTTCTAAACACAAGCACCCATGGTTGCTTGAATAAACTAAAGTCTAAAATTGGCAAACTTTTGATTTAAATCAGGAACTATCTGATCAAAGATTAAGTCAACAAGATCTTTGATACTCTAGGTGCTAAAACACATCAAGTATTTTGTAAGAATCTGTTCAATATTTGGAACCAAGCTGTCCATGCTTATCGGAAACCCTACATTTTGATCATTAAGTAACTGACCATTTGTATGTTGACTTTGACTGATCTGCTGTATGAGATCAGCGGGACTGATCCAGATCAGCCTGCGGTCTTTATTAAAATCGCACAACAGTGACAGCAATCACAGCTGTCTGTCAACACCCTAAGACCGGCCGAACCACTTTAATCACGACATCTGAGGTGTGAGTGTGTGTGCCCCGACCCTTGAAGAGTTTTATGTAGTCAGATCTTTCTCACATCATTAACAACAGTGATAAAAAAATAAGAAATAAAAAGCTGGTAAACATCTCAACAAAAACATTTCAGTTAAGTAATGCTGAACTAAATCCTTGATTAGTATTCAATTCATTCAAAGCTTTCATCTAAGTGACATTTTCTTGATTTGTTTCTACTGTTATACATTGAAAACAATGCCTATAACAAAGAAGCTCTTTCCTTTGCTTCAATTCAAATATGCCTTGCATCATGAACCTTCTACCTTAGCTGTAAATGTATCTTGATACCTGGAAGGTGAGGTAGAAGTCTTCCTCAACGTTTCCCTCGTAGCTCAGCAGTTCTCCCAAACCATGAGCCATCTCCTGCAGACAGACACAAGAGTTTACTGGTTCAATCCCAAATCAACTGAGAGAATTGTCAGTGTTTCCTCCCATAAGAAGAAGCATACGTGTTCAATTCACGTTGCAGACATTTCAGGCTACAGTCTCGTATCTAATAGGTAACTCTTAGTTATGTCACTACTCTACTACACTTAAGTAAAACACCAGTGATCCACTTGGTTGTACAGAATCATGTATTTGATGACCAAAGTTTTAATATTTAGCTTGTCAGGGGTCAACAGAGTTATGGCGCTGGCGCATACTGCAGGCCTCATATCTGATATCCTGCTGTTACGCAACCACAGGGCCCGTTTTAGTATCCTAGTGTGTGTGTGTGTGTGTGTGTGTGTGTATGTGTGTGTGTGTGTGTGTGTGTGTGCGCGCGCGTGTGGGCTTGTATACTATTGAGAACCAGAGTTTTTGACCTTCACAGTGAGCAGGGTTTTGGACGTGAAACAGCTTGTGGATCAGGTAACCCTAAGCGGAGCAACTGTCAGGAGACAGTTCAAGATCTTTCTCTCAATGCTGCTGTCACACAGTGTGTCTCTGTTGCAAGGTCAGCACACTATTTTCACTAAGTTGCAGACTAAACTGCATGTAGAACACAGGGTGCAATCTCTTTGCATATTACAGCCTAGTCTGGTCATTTATTCAAATAAAAATGGATTCCAGCTGTTTTAGCTGACAGGGTTGGGAGGCCTACTTTAAAAATGGAATCTGTTACAATTACTAATTACCGGTTAAAAAATGTAGTCAGTAACCTAAGTATCACGCTATTAAAGTAATGTAACTTGATTACTTTCTGTTACTCTAAGATTACCTCAACACCAAATATGAAACGTCAATAAGATGTATTGATGTAACCTTAGAAAAGGATGTGTCCTCTGCTCAGTGTATATTTTAAGAAAAACTGATGCAATCCGGCTAATATTCCACATTTTTACTGTAACTGTATTATATATATATTACTGTAACTGTAATGGTTAACAGTCACCTTTTTTTTATCTTGATTACGTAACCCAGTTACATGTAATCTGTAACTCCCCAAGCCTGCTGACATATACCCATTTTGCACCAGGGCCTCATCTGGTACCAGTTCCTTCCAAAAACCTGTTTCCAGCACAGCACTAACACGTCTAGAACCAAGACCTGTGTACAATGGGGGCTGGGGGCACCTTGTGGCCAGCCAGCTACATATTTATAAGCTGTTTAGCACATAGATGTTACGAATGTAACATTGTGCTAGCTGGTTACCTAGCTAGCTGTTGGTCAGTTAACATTTTCCAGGCAAGCAAAGCTACTACTCACATCAATGTTTCATTGGTAACATTGTTCCGGATTTTTATTTTACGTAATTAGCAGTATGCTTGCTTGAGTAATGTTAGCTAGCCAGCTGGTGCAACCTCGGTAACAATCGTTAATGTTACAGATGTACAGAGTGATGTAATGACGTGGTTCTATGGTGACTCACTGGAAAAGCTAACTGGTTCTTCGAAGGTTGTCAAGTTGAACCAACGTGAACCGGTGCTAGCGCCAGTCCAGAACTAGCACTATAGGTTTGCATTGGTGGAAATGGGGTAAAATATAAATATCTTTTTACAGTGTTGTTTTTAAACATTCATAATCTGAACTGCTTAAAATGAGTTTTGTTCTGCACAGGTCTCCTAACTGTGCCACACCAAAGCAACAACACTTAGGGGATGTGTTGTACATATTAACCACACACTCACAACAAGAAAGTACACGATCTGAGTACAGTATGTACGGCTGAGATGTATACATTGGCATGCACGAGTGTGGCGGAAAATGTATGTATGTGTGAGACTGGACTTCTGAACGGGCGTGTGAGAGAGAGAGAGAGAGAGAGAGAGAGAGAGAGAGAGAGACAGACAGAGGGAAGTGAGCTGCAGTGGTCGAATAAGCTTCACATCTGGCAACACTCAACAATTTAAACAAAGCTTTCTAACTCTTTCTTCCATCAACAAAGTGTTATATGTGAATTTTACCAAAGCTAATTACTGTTATTAAGACACTTAAGTGTTTGATTCAAAATTGGGAGCTAAGAGTGTGCATGGCTGAAGGCAAGCACACTGACTATAAAAGAAAATCGTATAGCTTGCTTGAAAAATACTACTGAAAAATATCTAAAGGATGGTAAAAGTTGGAGCACAATACTGATTGCATGTAAATGTTTTTGATCAAAGTTAACAAATCTGAATATTATCTGGTGGTAGACTTAACTTCAGTCTGGTAGCAACACGTGAAGTTAAATTTAGACTCTACAAAGATGATTGCTTGGGAAATGGGAGGGGGGGTGAAGGTGAACAAAGAGCGATCAAAAGTTTAACTATGGCACCCTCTAGTGACAGAATGGAGAAATGCAAGTGTGAACACGCCAGAGAGATTAGAGAATAGGTATTTAGTTTACCTTTGCAGTCTTTGGGACAACTCAGACTGAATGTGTTTCACAAAGTGAGTGCATATGTGTAAGTAAATAGTAAACATGCTGTGGGTAATTTTGAGATGGAGTTTGAAGTTTTGGGGTTTCTACTAAGAATATGCATCAGCAAGCAAAACATAAATGCTTCATTACAGAGGACACACACACATACCGGCATGATCTGCTGCAGGTCGTCCAGGGTGGCGGTTGCCATGCCGACGAGGGCATTTTGGTCGCATGGTACAGTAGGTGGAGTGAGGAGCTTCCTTTCAGGGTGGACACACATTCGAGAAAAGAATTCAACTAAATTACAAGACAGTGTGTGCTGTGTACTTTGCTCCAAAATATTGCCCTTGGGGTTGGAGCAGCACCCTAACAAAGCTTCTACAACAGCTACACTGCTGCTACCTGTGCAGAGGCCTATATTAAAGAGGCACTCCACACTAAATTATATGACTGTGTTGGGATGAGACACATCCATGCTGCTGTTAACATTGACATTTTCATGGAATTTATCAAAATCGGCATTTACTGCTACTGCTTTTAATCACCCTGAACCTTGCAGCGCCAAGGCTGATTCACCGTTTTGGTGAGTGGCCCTATATTGCTTTGCTCACAGTATCATGATATGTCACAGTATATTGAATCCTAACCCCTGTATTGTGATACGTGTCGTATTGCCAGATTCTTGCCAATATGCAGCTCTAATGAATCTAAGGAAGTCTATGAAAAACCTGGTGCCAAAATCCTTCAAACAGACCTGGATTACATGATCAGTGCAGCAGTCCTTAGAGAAAATACTGCCTAGTTGCGACAGATGGAAACACACACCTACCTGTAACAGTAGAGGGGGAAGTGGATGTCGAGAGCGATGCTGTTGTATACGGCTAAGCCCATCAGCTGATAACACCGCAGGTTAAAGAGGAAGTAACTTTTGACAAAGCAAATACACACACACTGTAGATATCCCAACACATAACATACGGTATGTATTCCCACCATCAGCTTACCAGGGTGGTGATGGCTTGTGCTCTTCACTTAGGTTTCTATGTCAATACAATATATATATAAAAAAAACAACCTACATTTCAACTACCAACACATTTGACCATAATTCTCTACATGAAACTAGATGTTAGAGATGTATAAATATCTATTTTTGCTGGCCAATAAGGGCCACACCCACTACCGATCATGCCAGATGAAATTTTGATAGGACACCTCTGTCCAAGGGGCGGCGGCCCAAAGCACATACACAGACACACACACAAAGTGTTCACAGCTGCAACATGTGGTGGCCATATGTAGTTTAATTGTGTGTGTAGGTTGAGTGTGTGTCTGTGAAATGAACACTACTGATTACAGGTAGGTGACACACACACACACACACACACACAACACACACACACACACAACACACACACACACACACACACACACACACACACACACACACACACACACACACACACACACACTAACAGGCACCGGCATGAAAATAAACATAAACTGTACTATTACCACAACCATTAAGGTCATTAAGAAGTCCAACACACACACACACACACACACACACACACACACACACACACACACACACATACGTATGTACACACACACCCACACACATATCAAAGGGAGTGTAACAGAAAAGCATTTAGAGGCCCTCGTTCATATATCTTCACTTTACGGGACAGGCATGAATGAAGCTCTTTCTCTCTCTCTCTCTCTCTTTATCTCTCTATCCTTCTGTCTCTATTCGTGCCTGCTCTGTTTCACATTATCTCTCTCTCTCTCTCTCTCTCTGTTTTTCTACCCACTTCGTAGTATTTGCTAGACTGGCTCTTACTGTTAACTCACTGTTGCTTCATTGCTTCAGTATGAGCCAGAAAACAATAAACAGTGAACAACAGATTCAGCAAATATGAATGACACAAAAAACATTCATGCAGCGTCATGGCCAGAGGAACCTGTTACAGTGGCCTATGGAAATGTCAATGGTTCTTATGATAAATCCTATTGACTTTGGTGATGCCATAACCTTCCATCTGGTGCCCCCATCAAGTCAACATTTTTATTTGTCCAAGACTTTGGTTTGACTTTGGTCAAATGTTAGCATACCAGCATGCTAAATGTGAACATTGTCACATGAGCATGTTAGTATGCAGAAGTTAGCATTTTCCTCAAAGCACCACTGTGCGTAACTGAGCCAATAACATGGTTGTAGATTCTTAGGCCATGTTCAGACTGGAGGCCAAATCGGCCCAAATCAAATCTGACAGTGTGAACAACACAAATCACATGGAATCTCATTCTGATTCAGGCCACTTTCATATGGGGATCCAATTCAAATATAGGTCTGATTATTCACAATGTTATGTTACTGAGGGCCAGTTGGAAAAAAGCCATCATTTCATTTGCATTCAAAAACTGTGCAGTAGTTAACAAAAAACTTCTAAATTAGAGGCAGCAATGTATATGCAAAACATAATGTGTTTTTTGAACATTACAGCATGTAAACCTATTAACATATAACATATAACATATAAACCTGAAAAAGACTTTAACATATTATTACTCTGTTTTTGAAACGGTTACATTTGGTGAAGAGCACATTATGACTTGTTTAGGACTTGGAACTTGTCAGTCTTGACTTGGGACTTGGATCCAACCCCTGATTCTGTGTAATAATTTGATGAAACACTCTTATCAATCCATTTTTCAATTATTGCCCTTTGGGGTCCTCCATGTTCTGGGGCCACATTTGTTCTAATTTAATTAATGTAACTTTGTTTGGGAAATGTTTTTATCCTCTTACGATAATGTTAATACTGGTTAGCTTACCTTATTTTAGTGCTCGCAGTTAAAAGCTGCAATACTGTTTTACTTTATTTTCTAATCTTGTCCTTCATTATTTCAGATTACATATTGCATATAATCAGATTCATTTGTGTTTGAACAACGTACACAGCAAACCTGTGATTATATAATATTCCAGCATATGAATACTGTTCACATTGCACAAAGAGCAGCAGAAGGAGAGCTGCTGCAATGCATTTTGGGCCGGTGCCTTCTAGCAGGTTAATCCAGCCATGCCTCAGTCTTGTCTCTCTATGCCTGTCTCTCTCTCCTCATGTCCCGCTTTGTCTCGCTTCCTCTCTGCTTTTTCATCAATGTTTGTGTTCCTTTTTGTTTACATCTGTTTATACTACTTTCCATTCTCCACCCCCACTGCACCACTTTCTTTCTTTCTGCTTTTCATTTCTCTCTCTCTCTCTCTCTCTCTCTCTCTCTCTCTCTCTCTCTCTCTCTCTGTCTCTCTCTCTCTCTCTCTCTTACACATTTTCTCTCCAGCCTCCTTCTCTCTCCACCACTCCATCTCCATAGTGACGCAATGCTACCATGACGACTAAACAGGAACAAGGGAGATAAATTAGCTATTAGCACAAGCACACATGTGGAACATGCATGGAACACCCAGGAGCACACACACACACACACACACACACACACACACACACACTTAGACACATGTATCACACACGCATTTCCCACCCTTCCTTCTTTTCTCAGTCTTTTCTTGCTCTCTCCATCTGACTTTTTCTCTTGCACACTCACTGTTTCTGCCCTCAACCAAACACACACACACGCATGCACGCACGCACACACACACACACACACACACACACACACACAGACACACACACACACACACACACAATAACCTGGCGAGGAAAAGGCAGCTATTAGGTTATATAACCTTTTGACAGTTCCCAGCTGGCTAGTAAATAAGGATAAAGTGCTGGATCGTTCTCTATTCACACAAGCACACACAAGCACACACACACAAGCACACACACACACACACACACCTATACTGTATATAAACATACTCTGATATAGATACACACACACACACACACGTACATAGTCCCGAAAGCACATTTTAAAACATGGCAGGAACAACAGCATGCAGAGATCCTCTTGAGGAATTTGAAACTACAAAAGATGAAGTACGTGTGAATGTGTCAAATAAACCTACTGGAGCACGTTCTGTCCACCTCAATCCCACTCTTAAAATAAAACAAATCAATAAAATCAAAATTACCAATGTCACTAGAAAGTTGTGTCAGTGCAAGAAATGCAAAGATACTTTTAAGAGGCATTGTGACGGGATAAGAAGAAAAAAAAATGCACTAGGGAAAAAAAAAAGAAATACAGGTTTGCTCTGGGTGGGGCTAAGACACGTCCATGTAAGTTGCAAATGTTTCAAATTGAGAGAAAAATTAACATTAATCACAACCCTCAGTGTACCAGCATGTTAGATTTCTGTCCATCTCACTACCATTTCTTATTGCTCGGGACTGCAACTTTCTAATGAATGTAGGTACACATGCTGTAGTTATTGAGTCGGACAAAATAGGCCCATTTCCTACTCAAACAAGCTGCAAGAGGAGGACAAAATGTGCAGCTGTTTGAGGTATATTATGTGGTCTTTGGAAAGCTGCTGGATACAACCTGGTCTCCAAACAAATATGCTTAGTACTAATCTCAAACAGCAAATATGTTTGAAATAAACATAATGCCAGCCGATTATGTTTTTAAGTAACATAATATGGAAACGGTAATTAATATATCCGGTGTTGATACTGAGCATGTCAGTAAAATGTTCACTGACAAAAATTAAAAGGGCAGCAGCTATGTGGTGGGGCACCAACACACAGAGTGTCTTGGTGTATTGATGGTGAAACAGCTCACCACATTTTGTCCACTGGAAGGGCACCCTAGAGGGCATTTTATCACGTTTTATCTACCATAGGGGCATCGAAGTGGGTTTCTTTTTTCTTTTGCTTTTTTTAAAACATGGAAGCACCAGGGGGGTGTTTATGAACTCAAAGCACTTAGTTAAAGTTAGAGAAAGATTATGACTTGGTTTAATGATGAAAAAGTGCTTGATACATGAGAGTGTGTTAACTTTATTGACATTTAACCAAAGCCCCAATATTTCCTGTGCTTTGTATGCCCACCATCCAACCCGGTCACCTCCCTATGACTTCTGTGTGGTACAAAAATGAAACATTGACTTAACTGGAAAAAATGCTGCCTTTGAACATAACCCAGGCTGCAATTACGTTTCATAATTACTAGAAAACATGAGGACAAGAGGTTGGTGGATAAAAGCTTAGATTTATGCCCGGCAGGTAGGAGGTGCACATGTTTTAATAGTTTGTGCACATTAATTACTATTAGTATTTTGCATTACAAATTAGGAATTTATGCCTTTATTCCAATTCAAGCCCTGCTGAAGACGCAGGACTCAACTTCAAAGTGTAGACAAAAGAGTAAAAAGAAGAGAGAGAAGAGAAACACAGCTGGAGCCCTGGTAAAATTTCTGATTTCTGAAGAATATAAATAAGGTTGTTAAGTGGTGTGAGCTAGCTCGATCAAAGATGTGTACAAACAGTGCACTGGCTGTTCATAGTCCTACAAAAACACTGCAGGGAAAATTCACTTTACATCATCACATCAATCTACAATCACCTTAAAAGACTGAAGCGCTGCAAGTAGCACAGCCTGCAGTGTCCATTATTAAAAATGCTATTGCCAATGTCTTTTACAATGCTCAGTTGAGTGTTCACATTTTGACGTATTTGTTATGTAAGAGTATGTGGGTGTGAAATCACTGAGGCTATGTTGTTTTGGAGAGATGTTTCAGTTTCAGACTGTCTGTCTTAATGTCTGTTTTATTTTATATTCTGGGCTGAAAAAAAGACGTATATAGTTGGAGATGTATTTGTTCAGTGTGCAGATTTACAGCCTAAAAACACACATTATAGTATCTCTTTCTCCTCTGTGGTTTAAAATAGAGGAGTGTTGTAGTGTGTGAGAGGAGGAGGGAGTAGAATGACTAAAAATGAGTGAATGTGTGCGGCTGTGTGTGTGTGTGTGTGTGTGTGTGTGTGTGTGTGTGTGTGTGTGTGTGTGTGTGTTTGTGCCTGTCTGCACATTACCAGCATACTGAAGTCTGAACATGCCCAAAACACTCTGCAGTTTCGTCTACAGGAGACAAACCTACTAACAACCAGAAGCTGTGAAACCACTGAGGAACTATAATAAATATAATGGAAGAGCATCAACATGCTAATGTGGTCTGTTTTCTGTCTAAACAAGCTACTCTCGCTGGGAACAAGTAAAAAATGTGTGTGCATACCCTGCTGTTTCTTTTTAATAAAGGATACAGTCCCAACCAACTGGAACTCAGAGTAGTTGTCACACTTCCAACTGCTGAACCAATGGCAGCGCGAGTCCTTCATGTAGGTGAACATTCCTGAAAAATAAAGAAAAATGTTGTTTATTGAAAATATGGTGATTAATAAATCAATAATGGCTGGATGAAGAGATTGATGGATAGATGGGATAGTTAAATGGAAAAAGGGAACTATGCAATATAGAAGTAAGGACAGGAGCAAAGGAGAGAATGAGGATGGAAAAATGGAGGAAGGTAGAATCACCAGCATTATTAATCAAATAAACATATATTTAAATCTGCGACTGATTTTTTTGCCACTTGGGGGCAGCAGAGACACAAAATTAACATACCATCCCCTTTTAAGTTGCTATGTTGACCTTGTTGGCAAACTTATTTCCACATCCAGCAGTTACAGGGTTGGATAGCATTACAAAAAAATAAATAACAATAATCAGGCCAGATAACATTTGAAAAATGTGCAAAAATGGATTACTTGATTACTAGTGATGAGTGAGAACACCATTATTTGTATCTGTTCAAGCTGCTAAATTATCTGTATTGTATCAGTGCAACTTCAAAAATGTGCAAGACAAATTATTGTTATAATATTTTATTATGCATTGATTTCAATGTTTGATTTTGAAGTATTCCAAAAATACTCAGAGTAGATTACATTTCTTTTTTTGTAATCCAATGGATTACGTTACTAATCACAAAAATTTTGATGCAGTTTGTATTCAGTAACCAACTACATTTCAAAGTAATCTGACCCAATTCTGGTTACGGAGCAACATCATCATTCAGTTGGAGTCATGTTTGTGTCTAACTAAATCCAATATTCACTTGCTCTATTTAGCTCTATTTTTGGTGTCTACCAAAAGGGAAATATCTGTCTCTTTAGCTGCTAAATGCTCCACTGTGTTCACCATCTAGTCTCTGACTGTGTCTGTCTGCTGTTTGCTGCTGAACATGTAATGTACAGTGGCTTTTTACAGCTTTTTCTCTGAAAACAATGAGAGCGCTGACAGTGAACCAGAACAGTAAAGTTGAGTCCGGACAGATAACAAATGAACTGAAACTCTCTATAAAGCTCTATAAAGCCAAGGGGAGCTCCAGATTCAGCTGATAATTCTCTAGATTACTACTAACACATTTTCATTTAACAGATTGCTATTATAAAAATATAGCTGCTTTAAAGAGAGAAGAGCTCACAAGAATAATAACTTAAAAATCAAGAAATTAGGCTAAAAATATATATAAAAAAACACATTATTACTAGTGGTGTGCATCTCTCTTCAATAAGACAATGCGATACGTATCTAGCTACTACGATATGATTAAGGAAAATATATTTTAAGATGGACCAATTTCAATTTCAATGTGATTCGATGCAATATGATATGTATTTATTTAATGTAGACATTTATTTTCCATTCTAAATCAAATAAGCCCATTCTATAAAAGTGTTATTGCTTACCTTCAAATACATATATTTTATAAAATACCAGGGTCCAACTTTCCTTCCTTCTTATAGAATCCAAATGTCTTCCAAACTTTAGATTTTAGATTCGATGGTGCATTGTAAATCATGTCTGCGTTGTCAGACACTGCTCTAAGATTTCTCTTGTCGCCAGACCCTAAATCTTCATTCCATAATTATTACATTATATCATTATTGGCATTGTTGGCATAACTCCTTCACAGTCAAGAAATCTGCATGGTCTGAGGTTATTGTGTACATCACTTGTTGACACCTTGTAAACATTCAGTTTGAGTGATTTGTGTAAAACGTGTCTTTGGTGAGGAATAAAATAAAAAAGGATAATGAGCAGGTAGTTAAGTGGGATAAACTCGACAGAACAGTGCAGCTTTTCCAGCTCTGACTAAGAGAAACAGCAGCCGTCTGTTCTGAGCGGAGACACACATCTGGACCACTCACATCTCTGAACACCAGAAACTGACACCGCTTCAAGCATAAAAGAGCCTGTGTGTGTGTGTGTGTGTGTGTGTGTGTGTGTGTGTGTGTGTGTGTGTGTGTGTGTGTGTACACCTGCCTGTGTGCAGCTGTGTGTGTGTGTGTGTGTGTGTGTGTGTGTGAGAGAGAGAGAGAGAGAGACAGAGTCGGGGCTTTCCCTGTGCTGCTAATGAGGGGAACACAGCTTTCATTGAGTGTGTTGCTTTGGGCCGACGTCCCTTGGCACCAAAAACACAGACGACCGCGGAAAGATGGAAAGACGATGGAAAGAACAACTCGACCAGAGGAGAGAAAAAGAGACACAGATAGAAAGTAAGAGGGAGAGAGAGAGAGGAGAAGAGGCAGATGCACAGACAGACGTATGCTTAGTTTCCATTCAAGTCATTTTTAAGCAAATTCCAATGCACTGACAGAGAAAGGCTGAATCGAAACAGCAAATCTTGGAGAAGGTTCTATATCAATATTGTAAGAAGGTTTTTACCCTCACATGACGTGTTAATGTTTCTTGTGGTTAAAGGAAATGTTGGAGCAAAAGTGATGGAAAGTTCAGCTTGAGAAATGCTTTAAGTCTAATTTGGATTAAAATAATGTATATCAGGCACCAACTCCCCGTCATCTGTGCAGAGTGACTCTACTCTAAACTCCAAATATAATAGATGCTAATATATAACCGCTAATATATATATGGCTGCACATGTAGCTATATGCAGCAGCTGGTAGTTTCCTCAAATTTGCTACATTTTGCTTTTAATCTATATTTTTTTCTGCTTTATTGTGGAAACATCATCTAATGATGTGTGACTGGATTTGATTTTCAAGGGCTAAGCCACAACCGTTCAAATTGACTAGACAAGGAGAATGGAAATGGCTATGCCTATATATTACATGATTTCTCGGACTAAATGGTGGTTTTGTAGGTTTGGAATCACCCATAAAGCACTACATTTCTGAATTAGTGTGTGCCCTGACCTAGTGAGATCTACTGACCAAGTCCTTCTGACAATCCCAAAATGTAGGCTTAAAACCAAAGGTGACAGAGCCTTTGCTGGTGTGGCTCCCATCCTCTGGAACCACAGGGCAGGAAACAGGCAGTGCTGTGGATGCCCTGCTGTGTGGCCGTAATGCCCCTTCTAAAATGAACTACCCACACATGTTTGTCATTGCCCTGTTTTGAACTGGCCCTTGTGTCGTTAAAATAAAATTCATGGATTTTCTCATTAAACTACATGCAACGCAGCAAATAAACAAAGTCACGTTTCCCAATGTCTGTCATCAGCTAGATGAGCTAGACATCAGTAGCACGAAATTTCTCCCATAAATACATCTGTAACCAGGGACGTTCAGGTGCATTCTAAATGTTACTGAGATAAAAGTATTATAGGAAAATTTACTTAAAGTATTCATAGTGCAGTAAAATGGTCCCTGTTTTTAATAGACCATATATACTGTTTGGTAGTGTGGCCTTGGACACTACATTTTGCCCTTGATGCCCCAATACATCTGTATTTATTAAAGGCCAAAGTGGCCTTGCCTTAAAAATTACTGCCTTTCCCAAATTATAAGAAACGTTGATAGTTTTAAGAAACTGCTAAAAACTCACCTGTTTCATAAGCACTGTATCCTGTAATGTGTTTTTGCCTTCTGTAGTTTTTTAGATTATTTTTCATGTTGTTATTTCCTGTTTTAACTTTCTAATTCTTGCATTGTACACCACCTCATGACTCTGGATTTCTTATTTACTTACCTACTGACTCACTTACTTACTAAGTATATGGATCAAATGAGAATAAGTGTATTGTCCTGTAGGAGGGGTTTGAGAAGTTTTGATGCTTTTTCTTGACAGTGAAACTTGGTTTTTATTAGAATGAATTGTAACTGCTGGAAATTCAAACTGACTGCAGCTGATCCTTGAAGGAACAAGATCCAAACTGTTCAGAGCCGCTTCTCAACACTTCACTTAAAAAAAAGATCAATGTTTGGTGGACTGTTCCTTTAATATGCAGAGCACACTGAGGATCAGAGACACAAGCAGAAGAGAGGAAGAGAAAGAGACGAGGGCAAACAAACAAAGTGACAGAGAGATATAGAGATAATTAGAATCAGGCAGTAAAGACAGGAGAGTAAACTGTAAAGAGAAACAGACGGAGAGAAGGCGGCAGTCATAATAAGAGCTGCTCCGCTCTGAAATGAGAGTTTGTTGCTGAGTTTCCAAAACCAACACTGACCGCTTTTCTCAGCCATCTGACACTTATTCTTGCTTCAGTTTCACTGGCCTGAAAACTCTCAGAGCTCGTCCACTGAGACCTCCATCTAATAAAAATTTACTTTCCATTTTTATCCAATAAAAATCTGATTTTCTTTCCGCTTGTTTTCAATAAAGCATGGCTTCACTTTCCATTGACTTTGCATCAAACTGGATTTGCCCTCTAGATTCTCAGCGTTATCTGTTGTTCTCAGTGGGTCCTTGAAGACCTGACCTCAGCTTTTCCATTTTCTTCATTCACACTTGATTGAGGCTGTTTGGTGAACATAAAACTAGATGACCTAACGTATACATTGGTGTCAACCATACCATGCTAGCATGTAGGGAAGGGGGCTAAATAACAGTGCAAACTGGCAAAGGAAAAACTGGCATGGCCATTTTCAAAGGGATCCCTTGACCTCTGACGTCAAGATATCTGAATGAAAATGAGTTGTACCGACAAGTCCCCCCTTTGCAGACATGCCAACTTTGTTTTTGCATATGGTATAAATGTGCTATTTGAATATTTCTGCATACTGGGGCCCCTAAACAGTGTTGGAATTGCATAAATTGGGAATGAATGGAAAACGGAGACACATACATCGGGCCACCCCTGCATAAGTCAGTGCCCCTCTCGTGCCATCCCTGGCAAAAAAGTCTGAAAACGCCCCTGATGGTGGCACACACTTACCGACATCCCAGACGTCTGTGAACTCAAAGTGTGTCTCACCGTAGTCTGTGTGGAAGATCTGTCGGACCAGCAGCAGGAACCACTCTTTTGTCAGGCCGCCCATGTCCAGCCCCGCCTCCCCGACAAACGTCACCCGCAGCTTCTTCTTCAAATCGCACCGCTTCCTAGTCAACTGTAGGAGTGGAGGAGACAAAACGAATAGATAAGACTCACAAGATTTTATCATTTTTGGGGCTTTTACTGACTTGTATCAATAGTGATAGCCGTAGAGTGGCAGGGAATGACACACAGCAAAGGGCAAAAGGTTGGGGCGACCACTGCAGCAAAGACTCAGCCTTGGTACATGGGACACCAGCTCTACCACTACTACTACTTTTAATTTTATTGTTGCCTTTTGTGCTGTATTGCATAAAAACTGCACCGTTTTCACTGTCATCAAAACCTCTAACATATAAATGTTGTGATCAAATATTCCTAAACTTTCTGCAGACTTCAAAGCTAAAAGAAATTTGGGCTGTCCTGAAGAAACTAACATTTAACGTCACTTAGATTTTAGGGCTCACGTCAGATTTATAGTTAGGTTTAGGTTAGACTGAGCATTTGAGGTTGACACATGAATGCAGAACATTAAAGGCGTACTTGCTTATCCTCATGAATGGTTCTGTATTTTCACCGCCCTCCCCATGTTTCCAGACCACAAATTTGCCTGTTTTTCTCTCATTACAAAACACATTTCAAAAAATATATTTTTGTTTGTCATCACAACCTCATAACGCCCTAGAATTACCAGTTTCCACCCAAGACATTTGTCTGCATCTGAGAGATTCCCTCTTTCTTATTTATCTTCAGTATTTCAGTGAAGGATACACCTAATCCCACTACTTACAGGCAAATATATGCCGATATGCTCAAATTAAACTGCAAATAGGTAAGGTAAGGTTATATAGGTCTATCTATCTATCTATCTATCTACTATCTATCTATCTATCTATCTATCTATCTATCTATCTATCTATCTATCTATCTATCTATCTATCTATCTATCTATCTATCTATCTATCCATCCATCCATCCATCCATCCATCCATCCATCCATCCATCCATCTGCTTATTCAGGTCACGGTAGCAGCAGGTCAAGCAGGGTATCCCAGACGTCCCTCTTCCCAGCAACACCTTCCACCTCCTCCTGGGGAATCCCAAGGTGTTCTCAGGCCAGATGAGATATATAATCCCTCCAGCGAGTTTCATGTCAACCCCAGGTTCTCCTCCCAGTTGGATGTGCCTGGAAAACTGAATGAGCAGCAGCCCTACTCTGAGCTCTCTCCAGATGCCCAGCCACCCTACATACTCATTTCGGCTGCTTGTATCAGCAGTTCTTTCGGTCACTACCGAAATCTCATGACCATTGATCGACTGGTAGATCGAAAGCTTTGCCTTCTGGCTCATCTCCCTCTTCACCACAACGGTTCAGTAGAGCACCCGCATCAGTGACGCTGATGCTACTCCAATCAACCTATCAATATCACGCACCATTTTACCATCACTCATGAACAAGTTCCTGAGTCAGTTAAACGTCAGTTGTATGCCCCTGTTCAGATAATACATACCTTCAAGGGCTTGTTTTCTGTTTGCATTTGCACCAAGAACAGGAATGCTAAAGTGATGGAAGCCAAACATATACACTCAATAGAATCTGCACTTCACTAGCAGACCATTTGTCCGTGTTTTGCTCCATTCTTGAAGGCTACCTTTGTGAGCTGTTGTTTACACAGCTAATGTTTTAAACAGGTTTTTAAAAATGGCAGTTCCAGGTGGTGAATTGGCTCATGCATTCAATCAATCGCCATACACTTACATCACTCAAGGTTTCTCTTGTGCTGGGAGAGTACCTGCTCTGAAGTAGGAGCCAAAAAAACTTCCTCAAAACAGTGTGTCCAAGACCTACAACCGCTCCCAGTTCTTGCAGTGCAGAAGGAGAGGGTGTCCTCCAACTGTTCTTAGAACTATGAAATAGCTTCTCCGGTCCGACGCCTATAGTGAGACCTCGTTATGTATTCCTGCTTTTATGGGCAATCTGGTTTAAAAACATCTGAAACAGATGTCACAAGAGTAATTGTATGTGTGTGTGTGTGTGTGTGTGCATGTGTGTTTGTGTACTAACCTCATCCAGTGAGTCGCTGAGAAGTTGTGCTCGTCGTACTTTAATGTTGAGAAACAGAAGGTTCATGTCCACTCTCTGCCTGCGAGAAACCTTACTGACCAGGCTTTGCTATAAAACACACACACACACACACACACACACACACACACACACACACAATTAAAGCTTGTAGACATGCATTTGTTGCTTGAGCACATTGGGTCTTTCTAGTTTTCATGTGTTACCATAGCTCTTCTATCATTGTATGGACCTTGTAAATAAACATATAAACATTTGAGAAGCTTCAAAAGGCATTTTAAGAGTTAAGTCTGGAATTAGATTTAGATTAGCGTTAGGGTAGGGGGGGCCTCCCACATTATTTAAATGATGTTCCTCACAAGTAAAGCAGTGCAAATATGTTTGCATATGTATGTGAAAGTGTGTGTATGTGTGTCTCACCCTGGCCTGACTGATCATCTGTTGCTCAGAGTCTTTCTGGATGATGGCTTTCTTCACCACAGTCGAAAGGATGAAAGGAAACTGACAGAAGGAAAACCTGAGGTAGGACAGGAAGAAATGTGAAAAGTTAATGACCCTGGAAAGGTATTTTCTAATCTGTTTTGCTACCATCAGTCTCAAAATATATAGACTGCAGAACAAAAACACTTCATTCCTCAACTCTCAAGTGTTTTTAAAATTATAGGCTTTATCCAAATGAGCAGGCTCTGAAATCTGCACCCTCCAATCCAGACCGCTCCAGCCAGGGACTTTCAGAGCCGATCGTTTGAACTGTAAACTTTGGATCTGTTTCTTTTATCGGACCTTAACGAGCCATGACGCAGCGTGAAACAGACTTCACGGCTTCTGAAAGCGTTTTTCTACGATCCTGGATAAACTGCAGCTGTGAGAACTATACTTTGTCTCTGCTCAGGAGGAGACTTCAACAAATCTTCAGAAGGAGCTAACATCACTTTTGGTCACGGCTTGTGCTTAGTCAAACTGATGTGTTGTCACAACTGTTAGCATTTCTGGTCCTTATTAGCAGGCGAGACCAAGGAAACTTTCCCTGGGAAAAGTCACTACTCACTGTCTAGGATATGATGGTGCGGTGGAGCTCCATCGTTTATGATATGATGGTGCAGTGGAGCTACATCATTTGTTATCCATTTACTAAGTATAGTGAGTAGGAACCAACTTCTTGTGCTTATCAACTGCTGAAATGATGTCAGTCACTTAGCGACTTAACTATTAGTCAATAAGAGTCTTAGTTGATCCACTTTTATCATATAGTCGCAGAAAAACAAAAACGGCAGCAAACGCCGTTCAGTGTGCCTCGTCACCGGGACGAAAGTATCCAGGGATTGTTGCAACAACGACCTTTTCTCTTGTAACACAGGGAGTCACTTACCCGTGCACTGCTGCATATGCTGACTGTACTAGATAGTTGGCAGTCCTATTTGCTGACTGTACATGGGACTGGGAGCTCAGAGGACAGGGGGAGTTTAAACACTACTAGCGTAGGAGTGGGGAACCCAGCAATGAACACTACCAAGGAGTGGGGCTGGAATAAACGACAGAACCAGAGCAGGGTGGACCAGTGGAAGCCAGCTGATTTACAGCCATCACTGGACACAGCGGGATTGAGCAATTTGTAAACAGTTAACCTTATATATGATCCGCCATAAGTCAGCCAGAAAGAAAAGCCGGGGAGTTCAATGATTAAACAGGACAAAGAGTGACAGATATTGGACCTATTTGAGTTGCCGTAGTTCTGCCAGGTCCTGTACTCCTCCATGAAATCTATGTGCTCCAGAGTGATGTTGTAGAAGTCGGTAAAAGGCATGATGGGGGGAGAGGAGACACTGTTGGCTGCATCTGAGGAGAAACGAAGAAATAAAGTCAAATGTGTCAAATGTGTCAAAATAATCTGTGCAATAAATATATGGCAAATTGTTAAAGTGATGTGAACGCGCGTGCGTGTGCGTGCGTGTGCGTGCTTGTGTGAGACTCACTGAACAGGCCAAGCACTTTGGTAGCGGAGGGAATCCACCAGGAGCATTTGGCCAAAGGAGGAAGTTCGTCTGGTTCTGCAGGAAACAGACGGGTGGAGATGAACTGCAGGAGGCGCTCTACCAGCTGCCTGAAACGCCTCGCCGACAGCCTGACACACACACACACACACACACACACACACACACACACAGTTAATATTGGTTAACATCCGCAGCTTGGCAGAGTCAAAACTGCACAAACTGCACATATCCTGAAATACACATACGCACAAAAATAGACGCTTACACTTCAAGAGCACATAAAATAGCAGCGTTGGATGGAGAATTTGGGTTTTTGGATATGAGCAGAACCAAACAGAACTTATAATTTGAAGCAGCTCGCTTGTAAATCGTCACCACAAACAGGATGCCTTCTTCAGAGCTCCTCATTGAGGCTGAGAGAGACGTACAGAAGCTGGCTTACATTTGTAATTGTAGGCTGTGCGTCAAGTTCTAAAAGCTGTAAGATTTGATCAAACTGGCTGGAAGTGGATTGAATTTTTTGAAAATAGGATAGTTTAGGAATAACATGATACATTTACATGGAGGAACAGCTGTGGAGTTATAATGCAGTTATATCACCCTGAAAAAGGTTTTAAGTTTGACTGGACGCCAGCTTAAAGGTCCAGTGTGTAGTGGCATCTAGCGGTGTCGTTGCAGATCACAACTCCGTTGCTTCACCCTCCCAAACGCGAAGGAGAAACAACGGTGGCTTAGAAGGGCGTAAAAAACATGACACCACTATCCAGTACCAGTGTTTGTCCCTTCTGGGCTACTTTAGAAACAAGGAAAACAAAATTAAAGGCTACCCTTATTTTCCGGTTTTTATACACTAATGAAAACATACCTATTTTAAATCCCAGAGCCAATATGATACCTACATTTTATTTTTCTACACTAGACACTAAAATTATGTTTAATTTTCTTTTTTACTTAAAGTAGTTTGCCTAAATGAAATAGTTTAAAATTAAATTATGACTTAAAAAATAACATATGATCAAAGTATACGTCAACAAAAACTAAGTTGCTTAAGCTTTTGATGCCAACTCTTGAACACTTGGTACCACAGATAGATTTCAGTCGGTTCTCAAATGTACTGAGTAGCTAATACTAGGAGAAATGTAGACTTGTCAGTACAAAGACGTGGTCAAGACTTTGGCTACTGCAAGCCTTTCACATTATTTTTTAAATGTGGCTTTGTTGTGGTTATGAACTAACCCGCATGCGCAAAAAAGAACAATAACACGTCACACTATGTCACATGCAGCACACTGTTGTGCGGAAGTAAATATGGAGGCCACTGAAGATGTCTGCGGTTTCATTTATAAGTTGATTTGCAATGGAAGCCAGCGCATTCCTGAGCAGATGATACCAAGCATGAGGAGAAAGAGAGTCACACTTTTAATTATGACTTTTTGTGGAGCAATGGCTGCTACTTCTGTACAGAGGCGGTGTGTGGACACAGACTTGGAGGAAACACACCCACAAACTCGAGGTATAACACCTCACTGACTACTTTTATCCGCACAAAATATTTAGAATGTTGTCCTTATTCCGAAAACATTGCTACTAAGCTGTTTACATAGCAATTGAAAATTAATATTCCACTAATATTCCCGTTGACACACAGCTGTGCATACTCTGATTACCTAAGTGTTAATGACGTACTGTACATCCTACGGAGGACTTTCCATCCTTTCTCCCTGTCAAACTGCAGTCATGTTGAACCCATGGTAAAAGTGGAACAGCTGGAGCTGCTTGAGCCATTTTGTCTCTTTGCATCAAAAGAGGATTTTTTCAAAGCTTTCCACCAGAGGCAGACTTGTTCTACTGCGTGAACGCAGCCTCGCTTTCCTTCATTCAGCAACCTTCTTGAAAACCTGTTGATATCCAAGTCTTTCAAAATGTTTAAAAGTAAGTGTGTTTAACCTTCCGACCGGAAACGTGAGCTTTTTGTTGGTTGGCTAGTTTTATTTTTTTAAAATACGCAGACCTCACTGTCAACAGTCAAACTGCCGTAACACCCCAAATGAGACGCATATTCCGAATGTGCTGTATACATATCCAAAGAATACTCCTTAAACTTAAATAATATCTGCATTTCCCACATGTCTTCCACACTGAGGTTGCATTGCAAATAATCAGACCTGTATCTGATTTGGACCACATATGAAAGTCTTAACTGAAAAGATCAGATTCCATATGATTTGTTTTGTTCACACTGACAGTCATGAAAAAAACAGATCTGAGTCACATATTAGCAAAATAAAATCATATTTTGGCCACATGTGCCTGCAGTGTGAACGTAGCTTTTGACAGATTTTCTTCCAGTCTGGGTAGCGATGCCACACACAGGCCAAACAACTGTCTGACCAGGTTTAGGCAGTGTCATTTTCATTCCTGCCGACTGACCCGTTTCTCAGATTAGAGAGGAAAAACAAAGATGATGAAAAACAAGTTGGTTGTTGAAAAGAATGCAACTGCTGCAGTTTGTCAGAATTTGGGGTTTGTACCAAATGACAAGAGAGATTCATCAAAGCTCGAAGCAGTGTGTGATATTTGCATAAGGAAAGTGAGCCAGAGCGAAGTATTTCCAGTTAGAGATGGAAACATTTCAAATTTACATTCCCATCATGCAATCAATCACTTGCTAACCCTGCTGCAAAGACGAGATGACAAGACCCAATCCGCCTACACATCCAAAAGTTATTTACAGAGCCCCAAATCACTAATTTCCCTCAGCGGGCTTTAAAACTGCCTCTATCCTTAGACTCAGTTTTAATAAGGAAGAACAGTGAAAGATAATAAAACAACAATACAAAGATAAAGAAAACATGCAATGACCTGATTCCCTTTTTAATTTCTGTGACATTTTTAAGGATTAGGTAAAATCAGCTGTTGAATGGAAACACAACAAGTAAAGACTAAGACTCCTTTCATCAACAGTTTAGTCAACTATGTCAAGCCATAGGGTAGTTAACATTCCCTGACACACACATACACACACACAAGTTTACAAAGGTATGCTTAGGACATTGCATGCACTGACTTCCATTCACTGTGGATAGTCTAACCCAAACCCTTACCCCTAACCTTAACCAAGACCTCAGAAATGACGTTTTGCCTCATCAGGAACAGACTTTGGTCGCCATGAGGAATACTGCTCCTGGCAAGGTCTGTGTTTATACAGTAAAAGGTCCCCACTAAGTAACAAAAATGTGTTCAGACTTACTTTTTGAGCCAGTGGACCAGGAAGTGGTGGTCGGCCTCAGACAGAGCTGCGATCTGCCTCAGCAGGTGAGCGTAGATCACATAGGTGCTGGTGCTGGAATACTGGGGGTTCTGCACACACACACACACACACACACACACACACACACACACACACAACAGAATATGTCATATTGTGACAAAGCTATACCCATTTGTTTAGCCACTTTAGTCTAGAAGCTTCTGACTTGAGAAGATCCAGTTCCTGAATTGGGACGCATGAAGCTAGAGGCTCTGGAGCACAAACTGGAGTTTTTTTAATTAGGTTTGCTCTGTTGCAACAAAAACTCTTTAGCACACTCAGAAAAACCCTGGGGTTTTAGTATTTTAGCATAAGTAAAAATATATTTCAGTTTATTACAACTTGGAGCTTATTCTAGCTTGGTCCATCATTTCTAAAACAATGACATTTTAAGTTCAAGTTTAAGTGCAGGAGGTAAAAGTCAAAGTCAAAAGTCAAATCATGTTCCTCTGGCATCAGAGCCAGGAAACTTACGCCCGGGGTCCCAAAGTAGTTTTGAACGACCTGGGAATGAGACTTAACAATAAAACATCTTCCTCGTCTCTGATTGGTTGTTTCCATTCACACGCAGTGGATTTTTCTAAATGCCATTAGGAGCACTAGGAGGAACCAGAGGAACCTGACAAATGATCTGTCTCGTGTACTACTGTCAGGATATAGGGAAGGTTTCAGCAAATATGACAAAAAGTTATTTTTATAAAAAGTTACCAACTGCTGCTTTAATACCACCGATTGGACGTGGCAACGTCACTAAAATTAAGTCTGACCAAAAAAATGAGCAATGTAACTTAATAACTTTTCAATTCAAACATACCAGAATTATTTTTAAGTACACTCAACTATAGTCAACACATAGTTCAAAGTGGTATTTAGTAGGAGGCAACAGAGACACAGTGAAGGTCATCAACTTGTCAAATAATGTTTAGAAAGGATCATGGGCAGAGGATCTATCACTTGTCCTAAAAAAAGAAAGTGAGAGGCATTTAACGCTGGTCAAGTTCTTCAGGACAGACTCAAGCTTTAAAAGACTGTTGTTGTGCCTGATTCTCAGAGACATGACTCACTTTGACTTTGAGAACACAAGGTTCTGTCTGTTAGACTTATGTGTGCTAAGCTAATAACAAATGACATAATAAGTGAGATAATGGCTCCATTCAGTCTTTACAGGGTTTTAACACTGAGATGAAGAGAGAGAGAGAGAGAGAGAGAGAGAGAGAGAGGGAAGAGCTGAATGTGTAGCCTGCAGAGCCAATAAAGGACGGAGAGTCATCATCAGACAGGAAACCAGCAGTCCTCAACTCCAACATGACCTCACCCAGTCCCAATCTGTGTGTGTGTGTGTGTGTGTGTGTGTGTGTGTGTGTGTGTGTGTGTGTGTGTGTGTGTGTGTGTGTGTGTGTGTGGTTGTGTTCTCCTGAGAGTTGGAAGACGAGGCCAGTCCTCAAAGTCAAATGGGACAAAATCAGACATTTGGCTTGTGTGTGTGTGTGTGTGTGTGTGTGTGTGTGTGTGTGTGTTGATGGAGCGTGGAACCACAGTGGAACTACTGTAGATTCCTGTCTTTATCTGATTCTAATTCCCAAAACCATATATGGAAATCAGACTGGAGGGAGAGAGAGAGAGAGGGAGAAAAAGAGGGAGGGAGAGAGAGATCACAAAATGGGATCAAATAGGATCAAAGAAAGGGACCCACAAACATAAAAAGAAATGAGAGAGAGAGAGAGAGGTACGAGCGAAAGACTTCTGTCGACCAGCACTGATGAGAAAAAAAAGATGGTAGAGAAGATTAAAAGGCAAGAGAAAAAAGGAGGGAAAGAATAAAAAAACAGTTGTTGTTTGCCTAAAATGTGAGTGTTAAATAAGAATAAAATCAGTATCAGCTTTCTAAACCTAATCCACTTGTGATCCTGTCTATTGTAACTCTGTGGGTTCCCCAGCCCACACACAGCATGGAAATCTAATGAACCACAGCTGCAAATGAAAAGCAGCCAACAGTTTCAATTAATGGTATTAATGACAGCATGCATTTGTGAACACAGCAGAGTTAGATTAGCTAGATTAGCTTTTCAGTTGCACCACACATTTAAAAAAAATGCAGTTGGAGGGCATTCTGATGGGACATATAGAGGGCTGGAGTGAAACCAAAACTTTGGGTTCTGTTCCAGAAGTAAGAAAACCTAATTCAAAATAAAAATCACATTGGCATTCGAGTTAATTCAGACATGTCTTTAATAACATGAGGACAGAGAGGACTGAACACAGCAGAAGTTTTTAGACAGCAGAGATGACAGCTAAAAAGTTGAAAACATGACTTTAGAAGAGAGCGTTGATGAGTTTTATGGTTAAGGACGAATCAAAGTGCTGATTACACCTGGTGGTTAAACAAAAGGTCTGTAGGGATCCCTTCCGTACTTCAACCGATGCATCTGTCCCCAAGGATTTGCTGTCTCGCAAATATTTTCACATCTAACTCGATGCATTAATTATTCAAAGACTAAAAAAGACGGTTTTGGTGAATTTTATTTTGTTTCTGTTCAGTTTTGTCCAGTCTGCGAAGTAAAATAACAGATTTTGTCAAAAAAGTCTGGTGGGCCGTAGGGCCAAATTGTTTTTAGTCTGGAGTTTAGTGTGATATCTAGTAACAGTGAATTTCCTATATATAATCTTTAAACATATAGGTAAGAATAAATGCTACAAGCCCGATAAATATTCCATGGTGTCTTGCCATGGTCTCAGCAGAGGAGGCTTCACTCTGCTTTGTATCATAGCATTCTTCACCTACCCGCCCTATATTGTGAGCGTTTTTTTTTTTTTTTGACAGGAAACTTTGGACTGTCTCTACTGTGTCTCAAATTTTTGGTCTCACCTGAACGAGAATGAAATATGCCCGCAGGTCGTCTTTTGTCCGAGGTCTGAAAACAGAACACACACAAACGAAAACCTGTCACGCAAACGACAAAACCAAGTTAGGCTAGCTCCGTCTTTGTGCTTTACTCTATCTAGAGAGCAAGTGAAATTGCAAAAATGCTATTCCTCTAAGCTAAGCAGTGCAGTTCTCAGAATGTTTTATTGTATCTACGTGCTTGGCAATCATATCCATTTTATTACAATTCAAATGACACAATAATATGATTTGAGATAGCATTGATTGGAAATTAGGTTGAAGCAAAAGCAGAACATTTAATTTTGCAAATGGATCACAAAAATGCTGTTTAAAAGGCCGATTCGTCAGACGTATTCTCACCCTTTCCACTCCCTCAGCAGGCTGTTGATGATCCCTTTCAACACTGACTTCTGGATGTCCTGAGGCTTAACACACACGCACCAAAACATAATCAGCATTCAAAATAGAAGGAATCAGGAGGTTGAGTCAACATTCCTGAATGTCAGAGACCCACCGAGAAATGGAAACACTGGCCACCATATTTATCTAACCTTCACTTAAAACACAAGTGTGTACAAAGATGGTCTAAAGTGTTTCATCCGCTTACTGAACTGATGAATCCAGGGATAATATTTTGTCACAGTGGGTTTTTAGATGTCATGAGCACTGACTGACAGCTCATCAAGTTAGCAAGATTATAGAATGTATTCAAATTTATATTGAAGGTCATGAACTCTTTTACAGACTTGATGTCATGATAAAATACCAGTTGCAATGTCCACTGGGTTGTAGTGTAATATCAGGCATAAAGACATGAAACACAGTGATATTTTCAAAATTTCAATAGATCTAGCACCAGTTTGTTGGTGAGATATGAGCACATTTTCCAGTTTGTATGTGTGGTCTTGCAGTCATGTGCTTACTGTGCTGAGCAGTGCGTCATAAACAGCATTGACAAACTTGGCGTTGACTCCCGAGTCGTCTATGGTGTTAAACGATCCATTCGCCTCTCGCTGGGAAAGGAGGAAGGGAAGAAAATGAGAAAGAAAGAGAGTGAGAGAGCATGAGAAAAAAGGAGGAAAACGGCAGAAAAAAAAGCTTGTAAAATGGTTATGGCGTCTGGGGAAATTTTAACAGCATCTAAAACAGTTTTCTCACAACAGGCATTCAGCTGAGAGCCAGACTCTGTGTGTGTATGTGTGTGTTTATGCGCTATACCTTGAAGGCAGCGTTGATTTCTATGAAGGAGTCGAAGGTGGTCAGGTAAAACTCCCGGACCTCCCTCCAGTCACCTGATTGGACGGCACGCTCCATGTCCTCCCTGGTAACACACACAATGCTTTACAGACAAACCAGACCTGGCTCCAAAATAACTATTAGTTTTAATGTGTTTTGAGCGTCATAGTGGGTTTGTTTTAATGTTTTGGGTCCCCGGGTCAAGGACTGGAAACTCACTGAAACTCCTTGGTGGTCTTGGTACGCAAGGGGATGATAGGGTCGGAGGGGAACGGAGCTTTGACCTCAGGGGGCAGCGTGTCAATGGAGAGCCGCTGCTTTTGGCGAACATCACTGCAGATCGGAGGCAGCTCTCTCCCTGGGTGAGAGAAACACAGAAAGACAACAAACCATTAAAAAAAACATCAGAGACCTGGACAATGACTTTAGGGGGCATGGCCTTGAGTGAGAGACAGACTGACCACAGCAGTGTAGCAAAAACAGCGTGCTGGAAGTCAGAGCTAACCAGCGATGAGCAGCTGCTGTCAGACTCTCCGTGTCCGCACTGGAAACACAGAGTCTGCTGGAGCTTTTATAGTCACTAGAAGCACACTCATGGCAGAAAGATTTATCTCTGCGTTGATTGATGGATTTAATTGAAATACTAATTTAAATAAACATTCTAAATAAATCTGGCTATAAATGCAGAGCTGAGTTACCCACCTGAGCTACAGTAGCTCTCAAATAGGGAATAAATACAGTATATGGAGCTCACATGGGAACATCAGCTAGATGAGAATATTAATCAAAATCGTAATAATAAAATGTTTACAATTTATTTTGTTTAAAGGTCATAATCAATCAAAGCTGAATGTAGTCTAGAGGATATGAACGCAGCTGGAAATCAAATCAAGGCCAGATCAGCAATTCCCAGTTAGGCATCTGGTGAGTTTGCAATGCATTGCTGTTCCTGATTAATACTTTTGCATTTTGAAGGAAGGATGTATATTATTTTTTTGGACATTTCTGTTGGACCATATGAACATGACTTTGAAGTTGAATTAATTGTGTGAACATTTGAGTTGAGAGACAATTAATGCCTTATGAACTTACTTGGGGGTTTGATTAAGACATTGGGTGAAGCATAGCATTGTCGAAAAGGCTTTAAAGACACCTTTATACTTTGAACAAATTTTCCATGATCTTTTTTAGAAGATCACAGTTGCTATCACATTATGATAGTAATTGCTGGCTGTCATTTTAGCTGTACATTTGTCATTTTGCTAGAGAGAACATGTTTCACACTCTAGATTTATGGAGGATGAAAAGCGAGTCATCAGTCCATAAATACATTTAAAAATCAAAGTAGACAGTACTTTGATACACATCAAAGTACTGAGGACTGCTAAGAGCAGAGCCATAGTTCAAAAGAGCTTAAAATAAAGACGGAGGGAAAACGGAAAAAGAAACCAGAGAAGGAAATTGTTTTACTGTTTCTTTCTGGAAACAAAAGTTGTAGAGAATATACAACAAGACAAAAGGAAAGAGAGACTGAGAAAGAGATGTCATTGATGGTGTTGTTTCCACACACGCACACACAAACACACAAATGATAGCTATTAACCTCAATCAGGGTGTAATCACAGAGGCCAGACTGCACTGTGAGAATACAATTCCCCACAATGTACAAATACACACACACTTCTACAGAAACACACACATGTTCGCCCATCCTCCCACACTTCTGACCATCCATCCATTCTGTTTATAATTAGCCTCCTATTGTATCTGTCGCCACAGTAACAATAGTCACCAGCAGCCCTGTCCAGGTGCATTGTGGGTGCTAATTCTGTAGACAGGGACTAATGTATGAGCAGAAGATGAAAGGGACACAAATACAGAGGCGGAAAAACGGATAAATAACAACGTCAGGTGTTATACATCACAGGAATCTTTTCAGAGCAGGAGCTTAAGATGTAAACTTCGCCCTGAGGGTGGCACTAGAGAAAAGGTCATGTGGTCATTAGCATTAAAAGATAAGTGAGTAGAAATGTGATCAGGAAATTACAATCTGTACAGTAAATTGGGAATTGTTGGGTCTCTGTATGTAATGAATTGGCGCTATACAAATAAAATTTAATTGAATTGAATGAAATTTTGTCATATGTGTGCACAAGTAGAAAGATTTTTCTGATGGTAGCACTTAAGGAAATGTGAGAATTTTAAATACAATTTTGGTTTACTGGTATGTTCTGTATTAATATATCCATATATTTGTTTAAATTTTTCAAATGATTATTTTATTGTTTAATCTTTCTTTTTTTCCATTTATAGATATTCTTTGTTTAAGCACTTGTAAAATATATTGTAAAATTCTTTATTCTATCATCAAATAAGGAAAATAATTTATCATAATAGCTCAATGTGACACACAATGCGTCAATTAACTTTACAGGCCCACCACAGCCACAATTCCAAAACAATGTTATGTTCTCTTAAAAGACAAAAGGAAAAATACACATAAAATAAACTTATAAGGGGGAATTAGAAAAAACAGGGGGCAATTCAAAGAAAAATCTCCTGGATGGCTAGAAGCGCAATAAGAACTTTATGTGAGAGAAAGACAAGTGCATAAATAAAATTTTTAAATGATTCTTAGGAAAACACTAATGGATCCAGTATATGGAGCATTCGGAGTATATATTAGTGGCAGAGCTTATGGGTCTGAAAGAAATGCGTGTGTGCCTTAAACCCGAAATCTTTCTAGTCGCCAGCAGGGGGCAACTCCATTGGTTTCAAAAAGAAGTCTAAGCCTTATGAGAAAATGACCCTACTTCTCACTTGATTTAAGAGCTCAGTAAACAGTTTCCTAATGAGTTTATGGTCTCAGTCTCTAGTTTCAGTCTTCTTCAATACAGCATGATGTTCATTTAGTAAATGATGGTCCCATTTAGAATAAACTAGACCGTAAAGCAGGGTATGATTTAGGGTGTGGCTACCTTGTGATTGACAGGTCATTCTCAGTGAGTCCCTCCAGCTTCTCTGTATGTTACCTACCAGCTCCACACTGTAATCCAAATTAGAAATGTTCCAATCCTGGGGAGAAAAAAGCGAATGTGACACTGCTGGGAGGTAGCAGGGTCCCGTTCTGGGGCTAATAAATCATAGGTATTGGATCGGTGCATACATTTTTTTTTGGGCTTTAATTGCCTTTATTTGATAGGACAGCTGAAGACAGACAGGAAAGGGGGGCAGAGAGAGAGAGAGGAGATGACATGCAGCAAGGGGCCGCAGGTCGGATTCGAGCCGTGGGCCGCTGCAGTAAGGACTCAGCCTCGGTACATGGGTCGACAGCTCTACCCACTGAGCTAACCGGGCGCCCTGGTGCACACATTTTAGGCAGTATGGAAGAAATTTGCGACACTGTTATCAGTATCAAAATACCTCTAATCCAAATATGGTCACATGATCTAAGTCCATAATGCCAAACATTATGGCTTCAAAACAGTAAGCCAAAACCCAATGGGTGGCATCATGGTGGATCTATACTTGATATGAATTTCACAAACAATAAGTTTTATCCTCTGGTGACCATTAATATCCATATCAAATGTAATGGTAAATGGACCTGTACTTGTATAGCGCCTTTCTAGTCTTCTGACCACTCACTTTTACACTTTCATACACATTCATGACATCAGGAGCAATTTGGGGTTTAGTATCTTGCTCAAGGATGCTTCGTCATGTGGCACCAGGAGCTGGGGATCGAACCCACAACCTTCCGATTGGGGAAAGACCGGCTCTGCCTCTGAGCCACAGCTGCCCCCTAAATGGAAATAAATGGAAGCTTTCATGGAAAAAAAAAGATTTCTAATGTCAGTGCTACAAGAAGGAACAGAGGTTTATCAAATATGACTGAGTCATCCTCTGGGAACCACAAATATCCAACATGTTTCATAGCAACCTGGCTACGAAATATATTAATTAGTTGTTTAGTTGATGGAAGCAGATGGAAAATTGTTATTGTTAGTTCTTATATAGTTAGGCCACGCCTCCAACAGGACAAAGAGTAGAGTTGATGAGAGCAGGAACAACCCTCCATCTTTGCACCCTTGCCCTCCCTTCTCCTCCACCACTGCATCCTAATTACCACTGTTTTGTCAGCTTGTGCGTCACCCAATTTAGTCCTGACAGCAACAAACCTCTGTTGTCATGACACCCTTTAATCAGAAGAGTCACCTTCAAGACCTCCAAGGACATCCTCCTCCCTCTCCTCAATCAAAGTTTACTTAAACAAGGCCTTTGATTTTTTTTGACAATGTGTAAGAGGACAAGCTTGTTATTTTCCTCAAGTGTTGTCAACATGTGCCATCTATTAATTCATGTTTTTGTCCCTGCTGAGGTTAAATGAATGGAGCAGTCCACAAACATCAGACTTAAGATGAGTGGGTAACCATGTATGGTCAACCAACATTTCAGGAAACCGAATGAGGAGTTTCTCTTACAAAATGAAACATGTTTATTGCAGGAAAACAATTTAATTAGGTTGAAATACTTTTTAAAAGAAAACCAAAACGAAACTTGGTCAAGTTGGTCGACGGAGCAACAAGGCTGTGCAAAGTGTAATCTGACAAGTAGATGCAATCTGTATCTGGATGAGGGAAAATGCATGTTAATGCCAGGTGTTAATGCGTGCAGAACGTATTGGAATCAGCCAGACCACATTTGGAGGTGGTCACGTACTCTGATCGGATCTCATCCCAGTGAAAATGCAATCCGTACAGCATGAACACATTCTTAAGAAAATAATCCACATGAAAGGTCACCAAACTCCACCTCTTCATGATAGCTCAAGCAAGCTCTTCATAGGTTACAAGTAGTAGCTGCTAGAAAGTCTGCTGTTCTTTTAACAAACAGATCATTGGCTACATAAAACAAAAATTCTCTCAGTAAGATAAAGAGCAATTGTGAGAACTTGGTTGGACAGAGATTCTCCAAAAATCTTAGGTGGTCATTGCATCCTCTGGCATTTGTGTCCCGTGAACCCTTGTGGCTACACAAATGCAGAAAGTATAAAGTTGCCTTTTTGTGAGAGCTAGTTAATATATGATACATTTTTCAGCTGCTTTATGCGTAGTGTGTGTGATTATCAGTAGGTGAATTTGACCGAAAAAGGTGCTAGTACCGTAATTCAGCTCAACCCCAACCACAACATAACCCTCACCCTAATTCTTTTGCCATTTTCAAGAAGACCTGTGAAGACCTCCTACTCTTCCTATGATTGGCTCTCACCCTGACATTTTTTTCGAACTCTGACCATCGTCATGCCTAAACCTAACCAACCAAACCAACAAAGGCAATGAACACTAGGCAATCAGA